ATCTGCCAAGTTATGATGTATGTTGTCTATTTTTATCGAGGACGAGCGAGACTTTTTATTGAACACTTGTTGTGCACCATAATGTCGCATAGAAGAAATAGAAGAAGCACAACAAAGGAAATAAGAAGAAAATTTACAAGTAACTGTACATAGCGGGTTGCACAAAAGAAGCAATAGTTTGAAATTCAGTATTTTGACTCATATTTTTCAGTTTGTTGTAGTTGTGTATAGGAGTCATATACAAATATACAAATAGTACACATTAAGGTTACGAAGTTATTGGAGTCATGAGCAAGTTATTGGAGTCATGAGCAGCCAATAACCTTATATTGGCTCCGCCACTAAATAGGCATACTAGCACTCACTATTAATCACATAATAAATTTAGCTAGGGGGTGGAAGCTTTAGCATCTCCAATGGGAGTCCCACCCCCACTTTTGAGGACTTATTTAGGAATTTTAGAGGAATATTCGAGTCCCTAAAAGAATATTGTTTATTATGAAAATTCCTTATAGGATAATCCCTAAATATAGGGACTAAAATATTAAAAAATTATTATTCATTTCATTGAAATATTGTAACCTTTGATAAAAATAAAAAACTATCACCACCATTGATTTTTCAAGAATTAAAAAAAAAAGGCAAATGAGAAGTTGCCCTACATGGGTGGGTTCAAAAAACAAGGAAAAAAAACGTAACGAGCAGCACTATTTCCACTCAAAATTAATATGGAGTCCAATATTTGAGTCCGTATAGTTAGTCCTTATATTTGAGAATTCTTAAGAGGTATCCGGCAAGTCTCTATGTATAAGATACTTTGAGGACTTTAATTCCGGCCCATTGGAAGTCATTTGTCCCTATATTTAGGGACTATACGATTGTAGGACTCCATTTAGGATCTTCATTGGAGATGCTCTAATCTTCTTTCAAATTATCTTCCGATCAAATATGTCACATTATTTTTCTGGATTGTATTGGCAAATGTGCCATGAACAACTGAAAATTTGGCCATAAGTGAGAAATTAGCCATTTTATAAGTTTAGGAGGGCTCATTGCTAAAATTTTCTCTTAGTGATGCAAGGAGAGACTTGAGAACGTTTGTGCCGCATTTCAAAGTGTCATTTGATTCCTTTTTGGTTTACATTTGATTCCTTTTTGGTTTATTTAAACCAAAAGCTAGAAGAAAAAAAAATGCGGTTGTGCAAGAGAAGAAAATGGCGTGCATTAATCATTTTCGTTATGTATCAATAGATGAGTTTAATTCAATCTACCAGCTAAAATAGTCTTAAAAATCAAACTCATTTAACAACTAATGCAATTTTGAATTTAGCAGTGAGCAAATCTTGCTCAAGTACAGGCTAGTGTGGGTGTTTTTATTTTACAAACCATGGTGTTAATAGGGGACCGGTGGAGCTCGTTTGAAAATAATTTTAAAATGACTCAAAATGTTTTTAGTGAAAATATTTTTGGATTCTCGGTAAAAATGCAATTGAATTTTGGAAAACGCTTCAAGTGCTTTTAAAACTTAAAACATTTTTCTTAAGACAACTTTAAGGCATTTTAATAGTACTTTTAAACGAGTCATACATATTTGCCTAATAAAAATTGATTTATCCACAAAAATTAACGCATTATGTTGAGAGTTTAAACTTCATTCTCTTTTCCATAATATAATTTAGAATCATAATTTGAGATTCAACTTTCATGCTGCAAACATTAGATGACTTAAATTCACAAGACCATAATAAAAGCAACAATTCAAACAAATACAGACCATCTATTGTTCGTATCATTCAATACTATGAAACATGAAAAAAAAATTTGGAAAACTAATGAAAAGGGCTTGAAACTTTGAGTTTTAATGATAAGGACAAAATAAAGGGTAAAGTGAATAGTACTATGATTGATTTTTTAGTGTAAAAATGTGGTTTTTCGTTAAAATGAATAGTACCAGATACTTTTCTTTAAAATTCCCAAAAAAAATTCGATAACTTGGCTTGTAATAAAACATAAAAAACTAATTTCTCTGTTATTTTTTTTTATCACTTTTCAAACTTAATTTGGGTTTTTCTTTTTTATGGACACTACGATTCAGTTCCAGTCATCTCTATCAAATTGAAAAGGACAACTTTTTCATGGTCAACCGTCCCTCCAAATCCTCACCGTACAAATAGAAATATCCACACACGTGTAGGGTAAAAGGATAACTTTCTTCACATGCACATGCCCTCGCCATCCTCCAGTCGTGACTCGTGCCCCTACTGTGATAACCTTCCACCTTTGAAGCCCTAACACTAACTAACGCCGTTAATTTTCCGGTTACTCGGAAAGAAGAAGATCGCCGCCGTCAACGGCAGCCGGGACAGCCTGTTCGCCGTTCCGCTCCACGGTGATCCGTTGCCGTTTGGGAAGCTTCAGCAAACACGACTGTCACTGAGTCCATACAGCTTCGTTTATTGTTTTTAATTAATTAGTTAATTAATTAAATAAGCTATCTTAAAGGGCGGTAACAGATTTCTTATCCTGCGCACCCACTCCTCATTCAAAGCACTGGTCTGCGAATCTGATCTTGTTTTTCTCAGAGGCTGAGAAGTAATCAAGGCAAAGAAGAAAGGGGAGAAAATGGCGGGAAAGGCTTCGAATTTCTCGGATCTGATTCAGCGAGTGGCGGCTTCTTGCTTGCTCCATCCACTCGCCGCCGGCCGCTACGATTCCTGTGATTCACCTGTGAAGCGACGCGCCGGCGATGAGGAGGACGTAATGTACGAGCACGAGGCCGGCGACCAGCACGATGAAGTGATTGACGGGGGAGGTTTAGGGGTAACGGTTGGGGAGGATCAGGGGTCGACGAAGGGGAAGGAGGTGGTGGAGATGGAGATGGCAATGAGGGAGGTGTTCGATGCTGTTGCGTCGATGAAGAAGGCGTACGTCAGCCTCCAAGAGGCCCACATCCCGTGGGACCCAGAGAAGCTCAGGGCAGCTGACGCGGCGGTGGTCGGTGAGCTGAGAAAAATCGGGGTACTGAGAGAGAGGTTTCGAAGAAGGCGTTGTAGCGGCGGCGGAGAGCGAGTAATGGCGGGGAGTATATTGAGAGAGGTGGTGGCGCCGTACGAAGCGGCAGTGGACGAGCTGAAGAGAGAGGTGAAGTCCAGAGAGGTCGAGATCCAGAACCTCAAGGAGAAGCTAAACGGCGCCGTTAACGGGTCCCACTCGAAGAAGGGCAGGTCCGTGTCCAGAAGAAAAGTCGGTTGCATCACTCTAGCTGAAGGTACACAGTAAAATCTCTCTCCCAACTTCGTCTTACCCTACGAAGTGACAATTCTGCCCCCCTAACTGATTTCTAATTACAGTTGCAGTCGCTCCGGCGCCGGAGCTGTTCGAGGCGACGATGAGCCAAGTGAGAGAGGCATCCAAGTCGTTCACGTCGCTGCTCCTCACCCTCATGCGCGCGGCCCACTGGGACATTGCCGCCGCCGTGCGATCAATAGAAGCCGCCACCGCCACCACCGGCGGGATCAACCCGACGTCGTCGATCATCGCAACGCAGAGCGGCAACGCCAAGTACGCGCTGCAGTCCTACATTTCGCGGAAGCTCTTCCAGGGCTTCGATCACGAGACGTTCTACATGGACGGCAGCCTCTCGTCGCTGCTCAACCCGGACCAGCACCGCCGCGACTGCTTCGCCCGGTACCACGACTTCAAGGCCATGGACCCTGCCGAGCTCCTTGGGATCCTGCCCACATGTCAGTTCGGGAAGTTCTGCTCCACCAAGTACCTGGCCGTCGTCCATCCCAAGATGGAAGAGTCGTTGTTCGGGGACTTGGAGCAGAGACGACATGTCGTAGAAGGGGGACACCCGAGGAGCGACTTTTACGGGGAGTTTCTGGGGCTGGCGAAGGCGGTGTGGCTGCTGCACTTGCTGGCGTTTTCGCTTGATCCGCCGCCGAGCCAGTTCGAAGCGAGTCGAGGGGCGGAGTTTCATCCGGGTTATATGGAGAGTGTTGTGACGTTTGCGGGCGGGCGGGTTCCGGCGGGTCAGGTTGTCGGATTTCCGGTGTGTCCCGGGTTTAAGCTTGGGAATGGATCAGTTATTAAGGCTAGGGTTTATCTGGTAAATAGGAATTAGAGGGGTTAATGTGGTGGGTTTAAGGCTTAGGTCGCTAGTGAATAGTGTGGCTAATGTTACTAGACTGTAGTTCTCCCTGGTGTTGAGATGTGTCACTATCCGCTATGTAGCATGTGTAACTGTTATTGCACTGTTTTATTTAAACATAAATCGCTCTTCTATCAAATTTGAAAATCGTTGAATCATTATTGTTTGCCAACAATATTGTATTCGTCTATTATCGTGTCATACTTAGATAACTAAATAACATTTGATTTTGGTGAATTTTTATAAGGTCGATCTCTTAATGATGGCTTAAAAATGATCTGTTAAGATTATGATAGATATTGGGAAGTTGATCCAAACGATTGATCAGTTCAGATTAAATTTTGAACATTTTAAGATGCATTTTAATTCTGGAGAATGAGTACAATACTTGCATATATTTAACATAATCACCATTTAACGGTCATATATAATTTATGTAAAATATGTATTTAATGCAATCTTCAATTCCGTTCCTTTTATTCCTTTTAACTTTTCGGATGTCATATTAGATTCAAGTGTTTCAAAGTTGAAAAAAAAAAAAAAATTTGGGTGGAATCGGAAATTTCTGATTCAACTTACACTCCTGACTCAGTTTGTGGATACAAATTTTTGTCCAAAGAGAATTGCTTATACACAATTCATATCATTCACTTCCACTAAAATGTTATTTAAAAGGTCTTTAGGATTACTCAAATCATGTAAAACGTTTTAGGCAGTGCAATCAACATCATCCCTACTTAGCTGATGCCACAAGAAAAATAGTTATTTGGTATATTAAATTTCAAATGGCAATGCGGAAATAATAATAATATTTTAGTGACCTTTTCGGGTTCAAGTCGTGGATACCTTTTTGCAAAACAAGGGTAAGACTGCGTACAATAGATATTCCTCCTCCGACACTCGCAAAGTGGGGAGCCTTATTAGCTTGAGATCGCCTTTTATATAATTGTCCAGTATAGCCGAAGGAAGAAGGGTACAATGATATGACTCTCCCTTTCGAACTCTCCAATCATACAAAAATATAAGGATTTTATGCCTAGAAGAAATTTGGGGGGAAAAATGAATCTTTAACAATCGAAGAGGGCCATTCCAAAGCAAAAGCTGTGTCTTCGAGCTTTGTGGTGACTGAAATCAGACGAGCATATTCATACCCGGAAAACGTTCTTCGCCTGCCATGGAGATCATACAGGAGCAAAAGGGCATCATTACAATGGACAAGTTAGCAGATTTGAACATGAAACACCTATGCAAATGAGACCCTATCAATTCAATCTTACTTGCTCTAGCATTAGAAACATAACCACATTCCAAGATCCTAGCCGACCGAAGTTTGGGAGGAACCCTTTATAGAAGGCCAAAAATCCCTGCAGTACGTCATGAGTTACAAAACATTTGAGGAAGCTGGTGACAAAAATCCATTTGGAAATTTAGCCTTGTTGGTTTCAAAAACTTTGAAGGGTTATGAGTCCAATGACTTGAAGAATCAGAGTGCACTTATGGATTAAAACTGAAAAAGCATACCTCGTACTTCAAAGTTTTGACAAAGCAATCAAAGGTGTTTTTGTAAGTTGAATCTCCCATCATTCGAGATTTCACCTGGAACATAACAAGGAAGGCGTCCAAGCCAACATTACCTTACTAGCTCATCCACTAAAAAACTATATAAAATTGTTTCGTACAATAAGAAAATGTCATCACAATCTTTCACTAACAAACCGTGGTTACAGCCTATGTAATGCAGGTCATGCTTCCATCGCAAAGCCAACATTCAGTGATGACTTAAAACTCGAGAACACATATAGCATGCGCTTATCAATTCTGTTTTTCCGTAGAGAGAGAGAGATATATCATTTGATTACTTTTCTTTAAATTTTGTTTTATTTTTACAGTTCTGTTGTAGTTTCCATTTGTTGCAACCGTTTCTTACATCTCTGCCGGTAGCATTCAATCCTAAAAACCCACAAAACTTAATATCACAACTAATTAGTTGCAGAGTGCATACCACGTCAACAGGAGAGCCAATAGAAACTGCAAAGAAGCCGGCACCCAGACCAGCTAGGAGATGAGTTAAAATATTGTCTGTGGACCCTGGAATTTTCAAAATTGTCTGCATAAGTATGAAGAATCAAGAATCATTGGGATTATTATCCTAGATATGGCAGGTTAGATTAACTTGAAATTCATAAATATAACTGCATTCATGAGAAGGAATGTTATGAGATTACCTCCTTCACTTGATCATAACTGGCTAGTTCAGCAGCATTTATAATAGCATTCCGTGCTACATTTGGCCCCAGCCCAGTCCAGAGGGCCCCTAATCCTTCCTAAATGTTAGACAAATATTAAACAAAAAAAGAAAAACAAATGAGCTGATATGTATTTAAGAAAACAGGATGAAGAAAAACAATGTTCTACGTTAAGAAAATAACCTGTCTCACTATAGTGGAATAAGCATCTAAGGATCCAGTATATCGCTTAGGAACTCCAGCTGGTAATTTTCCTTCAGCTTGAAGTCGAACCTTCACAAGGTCGGTTGGATTAGCCACTATGATTGCCAGAGCACCTGTTAACACAGAAGTAAGCGAAAGAGTATGCAGTTAAATTAACTTTTTTCAGATCAAAAGGCAGGGAAGATAACAGCAATAGTTCCGGCAACTTCAGATATGTTAATGAACAGCACAAGTTACATGAAATTTAGTTTCCAAGTACACCAACCAGTCAATAAAGCTGCAAGTATTTTGTGGAATAGAGGAAAATCTCCAATAAAAGCACTGCCAACAAGGAAAATTTTGACCTGTTTCAACATTCAGTTTATGGATATGCAGAACGTGTCACAAATAAAGCATCAAACAAGTAATTCGTGATTGTATTTGTGAAAGAAAACATATTTGGAACTCACAGGATCATATAATCCAATTCTCAAACCTCCGTAAACACATTGGCGCTGTAATCCTGGAATTATGCCATTCCAAAGTGCTGCTAAGCCTTCTTCCCTAGCGATTGTAGCCATAGTACCCAATAGGCCCCTATACTTTGGTGTGCCAGCTCCATCCCCCGGGACTGCTTTCTTTTGTAGCTGGAGCCTGACTTTAGCAGTGTCTAAAGGTATGGTACAAAACTGCACAATATTCATGCAGACACCGTTATACACCAAGCTTTGATTTTTATGCACACACCTGAAAGTGCTTAAATCGTACTTAAAAGTGCTTAAATTGTTCAACAAAGTCTTAACCACCAAGATAAAATTAATTAAACCGATCCGATTCTAGCATAACATTTTTCGATCCTAGTGTATCAGTTTGTTCACATTAAGCCACATTATGCAATTCCCGGAACCATCATACCAGGACTAAATGTCAAGTACAAAAGAACAGCAGCTACCCTCAAATTTTAACTTCATATTTCCACATACATTCCCACAAAATTGGAGACCAAATTTAGCATTGATCTCAATCAAAACTCACAAAACCCAAGTAAGAAATCGCACTAATTGCGCTAAAACACAGAAATTAAACCTAAATGATGATCCAAATCCCCGACCCAGTAAACCAAATTTCAAAACTAAGAAGTAAAAAACTAACATGTCAGCTGAAATTTACAGAGGCACTAACACAAACAGTAGAAGGATCATTGATTACCTCAGCGAAGCAGGCAGCGAAAGCACTGCAGAGGAAAGTTTGCAAGAAGGAGATCTCAGACCTGGGGCTGAGATCAGCCATTGGAAGGCGCAAAACGAAAGCTTCAAAAGCAAGGATTTTGAGGAATTAGGGGATTAAGGTGATAAAAACAAGGTGGTTAATGAGTAATTAGAAGGAAGGGAACTTGGAAGAAGCAAACTTTTTGCAATTGCAAATTTGCAACTGTTTCTTTTTTGTCACTCATTTGCTATTTTATTCTTGGGTGTTTTGAATTGGGATTATTAGGGATTTTAATTATTTTAATGAATTTAGAGGTATTTAATCAGAATTTTAAGTAATTCTATAAAATTTAATGTGTATTTAATTAAAATTTTAAGATAATTTATTAAAATCTTTAGAAATCCAAATGTATTCAATTAGGATTTTAAAGACGTTTATAATATTTCATGTGTATTAATTATAAATTGATTTTAAAGAATTTGAGAAAATTAAGGAATTAGAGGGAAGTCGAAATATTTCGTAGTGTATTTTAAGCATTCACAAATCTCACATATCCCCATAAAATTTCAAAAAAATTGAATAAAAAATTTATATAAAATTTTTACAAATCAATTAAAGTCTCTCAAATACACCTGTTCATCTTAAGACTTTTAAGTTTTTTTTTTTTGGGTGATTTCTGAATTTAAAAATGGGCCTGATGGTGCAGTGTTTTTTCTTTATGGGCCATGGGCCTTCAGTTTTCTTCTCGTCAGAAATCAACCCAAACAACTGAAGGTGCATGAATAATTATATTGTACCCTCCCAGCGGGCAATCCTTCCCCTTCAAAGTCCTGCGCGGGAACACGAATCCATCAAATCCCGCCAATCGAACCCGAAATTCCCAAACACGCCTTCCCATTTTCCCCCACTATATAAACCCTAACCCCCACTCCCTCACTCAAACCCTCAAAATCTCCCCGCCCAAAAAAACCTAGATTGCCCAAATCAAACAACCAGAACGCTTCTTCCGACGACCCGGAAACGATGTTGGAGCTCCGACTGGTTCAGGGGTCGCTGCTGAAGAAGGTGCTGGAGTCCATCAAGGACCTGGTGAACGACGCCAACTTCGACTGCTCCTCCTCCGGCTTCTCCCTCCAGGCCATGGACTCCAGCCACGTGGCGCTCGTCGCCCTCCTCCTCAGATCCGAGGGCTTCGAGCACTACCGCTGCGACCGCAACATGTCCATGGGCATGAACCTCGGCAACATGTCCAAGATGCTCAGGTGCGCCGGAAATGATGACATCATCACCATCAAGGCTGACGATGGCAGTGACACGGTCACCTTCATGTTCGAAAGCCCCAGTATGTTCCTTCTTCCTCTTCCCCCATTTTTGTATTTGGGGTTTTTTCCCCAATTGATTTGAGTCATTTGGGGTTAATTAATTTGGGATTTTTTTTTGCTATCAACTTTAATTATTGGCTGTTAATTTTCTTTCTTTATTCTTTATGTAAATTGCTTCTCTTATATGCAAGAAATTGTAAGAAAGCAGACAGAAACAATTTTTTTTTTTAAATTTCTTTTCATGAATCTTGAAATTTATACTGGATTTAATTGTCAGCTTCACTCTTATTTGGTTAACCTGCTAATGTTTGGATTACACTTAAGTAAATTCTGTTAATTCCGTGTTTGCCAATGTTGATTAATTCGTACCTCATCGATGTTCTACGATAGAGGCTGTTATTCTTTACTTGTATGGAAATATATATACACTCATATTTGGAGAAATTGAATTCTAAGTGATGAAAATTTTACTGAAAGCTTAATAAATCATTAGGAGACATTGTATCCGGTAGTTGTAATCGTTAATTGGAAGTTTTGCAAACAAGATTTTGGTTTTGTGATAGTTTATTACCATGCTCCAATTTTAGATTTTTGTTTCATGTATTTGTTCATCGTTTTGATTTTGGGTGATGGATCACAGCACAAGATAAAATTTCTGATTTTGAGATGAAGCTGATGGATATTGATAGCGAGCACCTAGGAATTCCGGAGGCAGAATACCAGTCAATTGTGACAATGCCCTCGGCTGAGTTTGCTAGGATATGTAAGGACCTCAGCGGCATTGGTGATACAGGTACTATTTTTTCTGATCTCTCGAGAGGATTCATGGTTATCTAAATTTGGTGTGTTTGTAATGGTTCGATATTGCTTGCAGTTGTGATATCTGTGACCAAGGAAGGTGTGAAGTTCTCCACAAGAGGGGATATAGGCACTGCTAACATTGTCTGTCGGCAGAACACTACTGTTGACAAGGTATATCGTCCTTTCAAAACAGATTAATTGGCTAGCTGCATGACTTTCGGTATTTTAGTGCAATGTCTAACTTCGTGTATTTTTGCCTCTGATTTTTGTGAATTGCAGCCTGAAGAAGCAACGGTCATAAACATGAGCGAGCCAGTGTCGTTGACATTCGCTCTGAGGTACATGAACTCGTTCACAAAGGCAACCACATTGTCGAATACAGTCACAATCAGCTTGTCTTCTGAACTTCCAGTCGTGGTTGAGTACAAGATTGCAGAGATGGGCTACATTAGGTTCTACTTGGCTCCCAAGATAGAAGAAGACGATGAAGGCGAAACCAAGCCTGAAGTTTGAGTGTTCACACAACGTCATCACCAGCATACTCTTTTGATGACTCGAACTACTGTTTAAAAATCCATGTGGAGGGATTTCTCAATACTTCTCTGTTTGAGGTTTTTCTTGCTTTCTCTGTGACAATTAGTTAGGAAATCTGTAGTCTAGGAGTTTTCGAATCAATTCCGTTAGGTAAAACAATGTTGTTTCTCCTTGGTTTTTTTAATTGATTTGTGGGTTGCATAATTAAGTTTAGTCTGCTAATTTACCTAGATTGTCAAGGCACTGGTGAGTTTTGTTACCAAGAAGTTGGTCAAAATTTTCAAAAATATGTGAGCAGAATTTAACACCAGGTACCAGACGATTGACACGTCATCTCTTGCAATATTGCAACTACGGATTTGGATTTGCTTCGGACCTTAGTGTTCGAAGCTTAGGGATCAAATCAGTTGGGTCGTAATTGATGTGTAAAAAGAAATCAAAGCCATTGGTTGTGTGGTGGGTTTGGAAAATGAGTTAATAAAGACAGGTGGATTGAATTTGTGCAGCCCAGATGAATTGATTCTTAGGTTCCGGATATTAAGGTTTGGAGCGGATCCAAATCCTGCAACTACATCCTCCTCCATCAAAAGAGCTGCAGGGAGAAGAATTGTGACAGCTACAGGAGCCATGGACATGAGCAGGTTCATAGAATTGCAGATTAATGCAAATTGCAGAGTAATCAACGGTTGTTAATTGTCCACGCAAGTGAAAACTAATACTTGCAAGAATTGTTTCCTTGTATTTCATGTTAAAAATGTGAAAGTCAAATTAATTTTTGGTAACAGCAAGTGGTCTTTTATTATAGTGGTAGAAAAAAGTTAAACTCTTGCATGACGGTGTGAGTTTAAACTTTAACAGTGATCTAACATCTAATCCAATAAAATCTATTGTTTGACAAAAAAAAAATTAATTTGTGGTAACAGGCAATTGCAAATTAATTTTACTATTAGGGGTACTTTTGGAATTAATTTTATCCATGTTGAGCTCTGTAATCCAGCCCATGTAGAATTTGAAAGCCCTGTCCTTATGGTTAATTTTGAGGTGCTTTTGGTTAAAGAAAATTATAGGATGATTTTTGGTTAAAATATTTTGGATCCAAGCCCTTTTCATTAAAACTCTCAAGAATCAATGAAGTCAAACTTTGCTTACTATATATGGATAGTTATAAGAAACATTCATTTGTAGATCGTAGTGTCATCAATATCATAGTTTCAAGTAATCAGCCTACTACACGGAGGAAAAACACAAAAAAGGGAAAGTAGAAAAGTAGAAAAGTAGAAGCCATAATACTTGAGGATCTGGCAAGAATAGTACGTCTGAAAAAATTGTTAAACCGTCTTACAAATTCAATCGTTAAACATTATACTGTAACCCAAGACAAAGATAAAATATATAGTTTGTTTACAAATCAAAACGAAGTGCTGCTATGATCCTCAACAGTGTTAAAAAAAAATTGGAACTCTTGTATGACGGTATGAGTTTGAATTCTAACAATAATTTAACATCTAATCCAATAAAATCTATTGTTTGACCAAAAAAAAAAAAATTAATTTGTGGTAACAGGCAACTGCAAATTAATTAATTTTGTGCATTTTCTTGTTTTATTTCAACTGACGGTAAGAGGAAGTAATGTCTGTCAACTAATTTTGTCAGACTTAATTTTGATTTATTTCACCTTAGTCACATGCGATCAAGGGCTCATTTGACACTTAATAGAAAAGTTAAAATGCACTTCCAAACAAAATTTACTTTTTTGTCCAAAAGCCTTCACATATAAGACTCTACTTCGACGAATGCATGCGGCCATTATCAAAGTGCTAATCTCGCTTAATCTTTTTTCTTTTAAAAATACGGGGTGGAGCACACAGTTCTAAATTGCAAATGAATTGACCAGGAAAGTACCAGCAATTTATCTTCCAAAATCCTGGGGCAAGCTAGAACTTCAGAAAATTTACTCAAAAATATTTTTTCTTTCTGCAATGTGTATCTGAAAATTTAATTAGGCGAACCGCCCATGTCTAGAACACCTTAGCAAACTTAATTACACATTCCAGACTGCTCTCCACTCCAGTCATAGAGAAAACAAAAGGAGAAAACACTCTGATAACAAAATAATGAAGCAGAAGAACGATCGGTGACCGGTGGACCATGTTGCTGAATATTTTGTGACGTTGAAAGTATAAGCCCTGGACTTTAGATGAAGAATATAAGGAGAAGAGAATTGTGAGGAGGAAACCTGAGAAAAAATGATCAGGGTGATTTTTCTCCACTCTTCACCAGCATAAAATGCATTGTCCCCAAGTTCTTCCTCAATTCGAAGCAACTGCAATAAAACTTGGCCCATCAGTTTCAAATCATGTGTTCGTTTGTACCCAGACATATGGCTGCATAGTAGAAATTAAGAAAATAAAAGGATGGAAGACCATAGAAAGAAAACTGCTTTAGTTATTATGAAGGATTTTATATTTTGTTATTTAACGGAATAAAAAGAGGAGAAAAAGGAAGAAATTTTCCAGGAAGTTTTGACTCTTGAGTTGTATATAATGCAGACAAATATTTCTGTTGCATCGACGCTTGTCCTTGGACGATTCCAATTGCAATTACTTGTTTCTATAGCATCAGCTATCAAAAAGGGAACTCCACATAGGGATATAGAATATCAAGTATGGAACTGTATAAAAGTTTACCTGGTTATACTTGGCCAGCCGTTCGCCTCTGCAAGGAGCACCAGCTTTGATCTGACCAGTTGAGAGACCAACAGCTAAGTCGGCTATGAAGGAATCTTCAGTTTCACCACATCTATGAGCCATGACCACTCCCCAGTGGGCATCCTCTGCCAGCTTCATCACTTCAATGGTCTCGGTCACTGTTCCAATCTGGTTTATCTGATTTTGAATTGTAAAATTATCAGTTGCCTCTACCTTATCTCTCATCCCAAAAAAAGCCATAACAGTAAATATCAGTATTAAAAATATCTCAAAACCGTTAAATACCTTTACGAGTAGAGCATTGCAGGTGGACTCCTCTATAGCTCTCTTAATACGCTTTGGATTTGATGTTATCAAGTCATCTCCAACTACCTGAAAAACCATGTAGTCTTCATGTTAAGACACTAACTGTATCTCAGGTCTAAAGGAGAAAATACTAGAGGCATCCAATAAAAAACTAACTTTTATATAGGCAGGATTCTAAATTGCTCAGCGACAGTCATAGGCAAGCCAACCGAATTATTCTTATAAGTTACCGACAGACGAGGTTGGATATTTATGATAATATCTAATAAAATTTGCTGTGTTCTACGGCCTTAAACATTCACAAGGATGTTAAACAAAAACAGTTACAGGCCTATCTATTTACTTCCTACATAGTTTTCCGTATGGAACTCCGCCTATGTCTTACATGGCCGGTCCCAAGCCCGGATAAAGGAGGAGGGGGAGGGCGTCAGGTAGTCGACAGCCGGCACTCCATGATCACGTCGAATCCTTATGAAAATGAATCCAGAACAAAATCGCGCTAAAGCTAGGGCGTCACCCGTAAGTGGCGCGCTGTGTGGCCCGAGCACAGTGATAAGTGAGCAAGGGTCGCTGTATCTCCATCGGCACCCGGATGCAGTGTTAAATGAGCAAGGGGGCCATAGAAACTTCTTTTCGAACGACTCCACTCAAAGTTGTTTGGGAGCATATGCTCCTATCAACTTTACCCGGGACACACAAAAGAAGTACTTTGATCCTATTAGACGGGGGAGGGTGAAGAAGCTAAGACAGAAGGGTAGAGTTCAAGAGAGCAAAATGCGTTTAGGAACGTGGAATATAGGAACCTTAACGGGAAAATCTATGGAAGTAGTGGAAGTTATGGTGAGGAGAAGGATAAATATTATGTGTCTACAAGAAACTAAGTGGGTTGGTAGTAAGGCAAAGGATCTAGAAAACTCAGGGTTTAAACTTTGGTATTCGGGCACAAATAGAACGAGAAACGGTGTTGGCATCATCGTGGACAAGACCTTGGTACAAGATGTTGTAGATGTCAAGAGGGTAGGAGATAGAATCATGGCAATCAAGATTGTAATAGGACAAGAACTTATCAATGTGATTAGTGCGTACGCACCTCAAGTAGGGTTGGATACGAGTTCGAAGGAGAAATTTTGGGAAGATCTTGGAGACTTGGTACAAGGAATTGCTCAGACGGAGAAGTTATTTATAGGAGGAGATTTAAATGGACACGTGGGCAGGGAGACAGGCAACTATGGAGGTTTTCATGGTGGCCATGGTTTTGGGGAGAGAAACGAGGATGGGGAAGCTATCTTGGATTTTGCAATGGCATATGATCTCTTCTTAGCCAACACCTTCTTTAAGAAGAGAGAAGAACATGTGATCACCTACAAGAGTGGGTCGTCAAAAACACAAATAGATTTTCTTCTAATGAGGAAAGGGGATCGTATAACTTGTAAGGATTGCAAAGTTATACCAGGAGAGAGCGTGGCTAATCAACATCGCTTGTTGGTGATGGATGTACATATCAAAAGAGTAAGACAAAAGAACAAGACTTGGAAGTGCCCAAGGACTAGATGGTGGAATCTAAAAGAAGAAAAAACAAGCCATTTTCAAAGAGAAGGTAATCACCCAATGTGTGTGGGATAGAGAGGGGGAAGCTAGCCAAATGTGGGATTCCATGGCTAGTTGTATCCGAAAAGTAGCAAAAGAGGTATTAGGAGAGTCCAAGGGCTTTGCCCCACACCAAAAGGAATCTTGGTGGTGGAATGAGGAGGTACAAATAAAGGTGAAGGCTAAGAAGGAATGTTGTAAAGCCTTATACAAGGAGAGGACCGATGAAAATGGTGAAAGGTATAGAAAAGCGAAGCAAGAGGCGAAGAAAGCTGTCAGAGAAGCTAAGTTAGCGGCTTACGACGATATGTATAAACGACTAGATACCAAAGAAGGAGAGTTGGATATCTATAAACTATCTAGAGCAAGGGAAAAGAAGACAAGGGACCTAAACCAAGTGAGGTGCATCAAGGATGAGGATGGAAAGGTTCTTGCTACAGAGAACGCGGTTAAAGACAGATGGAGCATAAAAAAGCAATAGGCCCAGACGATATACCAATCGAAGTGTGGAAACTTTTGGGAGAGACAGGTATAACATGGCTCACTGACCTTTTCAATAGGATTTTGAAAACGAAGAAGATGCCAAATGAGTGGCGAACGAGCACTTTGGTGCCTATCTACAAGAATAAGGGCGACGTACAAAATTGCATGAACTATAGGGGTATTAAGCTAATGAGTCATACAATGAAGCTCTGGGAGAGAGTCATTGAGCATAGATTGAGGCAAGAGACACGGGTTTCGGACAACCAATTCGGGTTCATGCCAGGGCGCTCAACCATGGAGGCAATCTATCTCTTACGAAGATTGATGGAAAGATATAGAGATGGGAAAAAGGATTTACACATGGTCTTTATAGATTTGGAAAAAGCGTATGATAGGGTCCCAAGAGACATTCTTTGGAGGATTTTAGAGAAGAAAGGAGTACGAGTAGCATATATCCAAGCTATAAAGGATATGTATGAAGGAGCAAAGACTGCCGTAAGAACTCATGAAGGACAAACCGAAAGCTTTCCCATAACTGTAGGATTACATCAAGGCTCATCCTTAAGTCCTTACCTTTTTGCGTTGGTAATGGATGAGTTAACAGGACATATTCAAGATGATATTCCTTGGTGTATGCTGTTCGCAGACGATATAGTGTTGATAGATGAAACTCAGGAAGGGGTAAATGCAAAGCTTAACCTTTGGAGAGAAGTGTTGGAATCTAAAGGTCTTCGCCTAAGCCGATCAAAGACAAAATATATGGAGTGCAAGTTCAGTGCAAATGGAGGCCAAAACGAGTTAGGGGTGAGGATCGGAGATCAAGAAATACCAAAGAGCGACCGTTTTCGTTACCTAGGATCTATCTTGCAAAAGAACGGAGAATTAGATGGAGATCTCAACCATAGAATACAAGCTGGATGGATGAAGTGGAAGAGTGCATCCGGCGTGTTATGTGACCGCCGTATGCCACTGAAGCTCAAGGGAAAATTTTATAGGACGGCAATAAGGCCGGCGATGCTGTATGGCACAGAATGTTGGGCGGTGAAACATCAACATGTACACAAAATGGGTGTAGCGGAGATGAGGATGCTTCGTTGGATGTGTGGGCACACGAGAAAGGATAAGATTAGGAATGAGGATATCCGGGGTAAAGTAGGAGTAGCCGAAATTGAAGGAAAGATGAGAGAAAATCGGTTACGGTGGTTTGGACATGTGCAAAGAAGGCCTACTGACGCTCCGATTAGAAGATGCGACTATGGGACAGAGGTTCAGGGCCGAAGGGGTAGAGGAAGACCTAGGAAAACTTTGGAAGAGACTCTAAGAAAAGACTTAGAGTACTTGGATCTAACGAAGGACATGACACAGGATCGAGCACAATGGCGTTCTAAGATTCATATAGCCGATCCCACTCAGTGACTTGGATTTTCCAAGTCTCCAACCGAGAAGTTTTCCTCACTCGGAAAATTAAGGGAACACTACCCCAACCTACATGCTCCACTCATAAAGCTTCAACATACAAGCTTCAACAAAAGAAAATTCAAAGAACTTAGCGAAGAAGGCTTTGGTGTATTTAACACAATACGTTGAAATGAAGGAAAGCTTATTTATTGATATCCCCGATAAGCTACAAATATGTACATATACATGAGTCAAAATAAACACACAAGAGGGAGCCTTCACAAAGGTTGCTTAGGAGAAGTCTCAGCAGTCGGTAGAGCCCCAGAAAGAGAAGGCACCGGAGGGGGATCATTTGGAGCCTCAGTACTGGACAGAACCCTAGAAGGAGGAGGCATCAGAGGTTGATCATTTGGAGCTTCATTACGCGGTACAGCCCCAGAAGACGAAGGCAATAAATGCCTTTGGAACAAACCCACAAATCTCTGATGATCAAGTAAAACCTGACCATCAGTTTCCTTCATCTGGTCAAGCTTCCTCTTCATGTTTGTAGCATAGTCATGTGCGAGCCGGTGCAACTGTTTATTCTCATGCTTGAGCCCTCTAATCTCCTGTTTGAGACTCATCACTTCAGCCGCCAATGATTCAACTTGGCGGGTTCGAGCAAATAGGCGTTGGGCCATATTAGACACAGAACCTGCACACTGAACACTGAGAGCCAGCGAATCCTTAACAGCTAACTCATCAGACCGTTTGGAAAGTAGTCTGTTATCTTTGGGAGTGAGAAGGTTCCTGGCCACCACCGCAGCGGTCATATCATTCTTCATCACGGAATCCCCAACGGTAAGAGGACCAGTAGGGGAGACGAAGGATGGGCGCCATATGTTGTCTGGAGAAGGCGGGGCTGCCTCTTCAACAAGGTTCAAGTCAAAACGACGGTCGGAGGGGCCAGACATTTTCAAAGGTGTTGAAGAGAGAAGAGGTCGGACAAATCAAGATCTTAGAAGTGCAAGAATGAAGCTTCTACTGGTGGAGATTCAAGTGTGCTTTGGAACTTAATGCCAGCCCCTATAAAAATCTGCACTCGACGGAGCTTCAGAAATCGAAGAGGCGCCTGCTCAGAAATCGAAGAGGCGTTTGCTTTTCTCAAAAGCTGGGCTGCTTAGAGATCACGAGGGTTGATCTCAGAAATCGAAGAGGCGTTTGCTTTCTCAAAAGTTGGGCTGCTCAAAGACCTCGAAGGCTGATCTCAGAAATCGAAGAGGCGCTTGCTTTCTCAAAAGCTGGGCTCCCCAGAGACCACGAGGGCCGATCTCAGAAATCGAAGAGGCACCTACTTTTCCAGCCTTGTCAGCACCTGTCACACGCACACTCAGCTTTGCGGAAATTATGGGCATTATGTCGAAGACTTCTGGGGAAGTAGAAAACACATGAATCTTACTGTTCAATCACCCACTTCCCACACGCAACAATAGCTCATGGGTACCACAGATAACTTTGCCAAAGTTCTCTGCCAAAGTTGAGCACGTGAAGCTTGCAACTCCCACTACATCGCTCTGACCAAGAAGGGTAAAAGAATAGCAAAGAAACAGCACTAACAAAGTTTAGACCCATAAATTTTGAAGGTCTAGCTACCATATTATTACCCACAAGGGTAAAGGAATAGTACCACTGCTGGATAATTGGAAAGTCCCTGTGTGTCAACCTCTGTGCTTCGTGGCAAGGTAGACTAGCAAACATGCCCAACCTTTACTCACATTCGAGAAAACACTCCCAATAAGATTGCTTGCTCCAAAATCGAAGAGGCACCGTCCTCCGAATCTCGAGAGCCAGAGCCAGACTCCCAACATGACTAAAAAGGTCGTACCCAGTGCACAAGACTCCCAACATGACTACTTTCTTAAAAATCGAAGAGAGGGTAAAGGAACAGTACCATTGCTGGATAATTGGAAAGTCCCTGTGTGTGTCAACCTCTGTGCTTCGTGGCAAGGTAGACTAGCAAACATGCCCAACCTTTACTCACATTCGAGAAAATACTCCCAACAAGATTGCTTGCTCCAAAATCGAAGAGGCACCGCCCTCCGAATCTCGAGAGCCAGACTCCCAACATGATTACTTTCTCACAAATCGAAGAGACACTGCTCCCCGAATCTTCGAGAGCCAGACCCCCAGCATGATTGCTTTCTCAAAAATCGATGAGGCATCGTTCTCCGAATCAATCGAAGAGGCGCTCGCTTTCTCAAAAGCTGGGCTGCTTAGAGACCACGAGGGCCGATCTCAGAAATCGAAGAGGCACCTACTTTTCTAGCCTTGTCAGCACCTGTCACACGCACACTCAGCTTTGCAGAAATTATGGGCATTCTGTCGAAGACTTCTGGTGAAGTAGAAAGCACATGAATCTTACTGTTCAATCACCCACTTCCCACACGCAACAATAGCTCATGGGTACCACAGATAACTTTGCCAAAGTTCTCTGCAAAAGTTGAGCACGTGAAGCTTGCAACTCCCACTACATCGCTCTGACCAAGAAAGGTAAAAAGAATAGCAAAGAAACAGCACTAACAAAGTTTAGACACATAAATTTTGAAGGTCTAGCTACCATATTATTACCCACAAGGGTAAAGGAACAGTACCACTGCTGGATAATTGGAAAGTCCCTGTTTGTCAACCTATGTGCTTCGTGGCAAGGTAGACTAGCAAACATGCCCAACCTTTACTCACATTCGAGAAAACACTCCCAACAAGATTGCTTGCTCCAAAATCGAAGAGACACCGTCCTCCGAATCTCGAGAGCCAGACTCCCAACATGACTACTTTCTCAAAATCGAAGAGAGGGTAAAGGAACAGTACCATTGCTGGATAATTGGAAAGTCCCTGTGTGTCAACCTTTGTGCTTCGTGGCAAGGTAGACTAGCAAACATGCCCAACCTTTACTCATATTCGAGACAACACTCCCAACAGATTGCTTGCTCCAAAATCGAAGAGGCACCGCCCTCCGAATCTCGAGAGCCAAACTCCCAACATGATTACTTTCTCAAAAATCGAAGAGACACTGCTATCCGAATCTCGAGAGCCAGACCCCCAGCATGATTGCTTTCTCAAAAATCGAAGAGGCATCGTTCTCCGAATCTCGAGAGCCAGATACCACAGACCACTTTTTCAAAGTGCTCTGACAGAGTTAAAACATGTGAAACTGGCAGCTCCCACTACCGTGCTATGACCAAGCAGGGTAAAGGAATAGCATTACTACTTCTTAGGGAGACTCCTATATATGTCGACCTCCATCCCCAACAGACACGCAGACCTGCAAAAATGCTCAACCCTTCATCATATCTGAGAGGGCACTCCCAACGAAGCCTTTCGAAATATTCAGCTTTCCTTCCCCCGATAATACCTCTGCAAACAAGCTATACTAGAGCAAGAATATCTCATATCATCAGGGTTAAAAGCAAGAGTATCCCATATCATGCTTTTTCCCTGTCTTTTCCTTTGGCCTTGTTTTTACCTGCAAGACAAGGAGAAAAGAGAGCAATCAGTCAGCACTTGGAATCAAGCTTCCAGCCAGGAACTGACTGCCTGGAACCCCTTACCTGATTACTTACCTGGCATTGCTCTCGAGTACTCATCTTCAACATCTTTATATTTCCAGGGAAGATTCCGCATCTGCTTGAGGAACAGATAGGGCAAGTGCGAAGGATACAAGGAAGCATGTGGAGACAAGCGTAAACAGCACACGTGCCGATACATCCATTACTCTGTCAAAAGCAAAAGTATCCCATATCAGCAGGGTGGAACGTACTCTAGATTTGATGGACTTGTTTTGACCTTCAAATTCTTCAGTCGGCCTTATACTCTGGAGGAAACCAGAAAACCCTCCAGCTCAGTTCAAGAATAAGCCTGTGGAAAGTTACTTCTTCAAAAGCAAAAGTATCTCATATCATCTCTTCTCATTTTTCTTCTCTTTATCCTTCATGCTGCTGCAAGATGGGGAGAAGGTGAACAATCAGTCGGAGCTCTGATTGCTTACCTTGTCTGTCACCTCTTTCAGCAGACCCCCTAGCTCGGCGACTTGGGGGACTCCTACTACATGGTTTGTATCGCGCTTGACCAAGCCTGAAACTACAAGTAAGCTTCAAGTGAAATTGATACATTACCTTGTGCATCTCCACCAGTTAAAGATACCACCCCTGGATGGAGGAAGAGTACTTCCAGAGAAGATGCCACATCTACCTATGAGACAGATAAGGCAAGTCAAGACGACACCACGCTCCGATACTTAGAAGTTTCGTGATTACGAGATCATTCTCCCACAATATTTCCTAATGTCATTTGTACTAAATCTTTTCACTTGTACTCACTAAAGGAGAGCTTGAACCTATGTACTTGTGTAAACCCTTCACAATTAATGAGAACTCTTCTATTCCGTGGACGTAGCCAATCTGGGTGAACCACGTACATCTTGTGTTTGCTTTCCTATCTCTATCCATTTATATACTTATCCACGCTAATGACCGGAGCAATCTAGCGAAGATCACAAAAAGCGACCGTTTTCGCTACCTAGGATCTATCTTGCAAGAGAACGGAGAATTAGATGGAGATCTCAACCATAGAATACGAGCTGGATGGATGAAGTGTAAGAATGCATCCGGCGTGTTGTGTGACCGTCGTAGGCCACTGAAGCTCAAGGGAAAATTTTATAGGACGGCAATAAGGCCAGCGATGTTGTATGGCACAGAATGTTGGGCGGTGAAGCATCAACACGTACACAAAATGGGTGTAGCGGAGATGAGGATGCTTCGTGGGATGTGTGGGCACACGAGAAAGGATAAGATTGGGAATGAGGATATCCGAGGTAAAGTAGGAGTAGCCGAAATTGTAGGAAAGATGAGAGAAAATCGGCTCCGGTGATTTGGACATGTGCAAAGAAGGCCGAATGACGCTCCGGTTCGAAGATGTGACTACGGGACAGAGGTTCAGGGCCGAAGGGGTAGAGGAAGACCTAGGAAAACTTTGGAAGAGACTCTAAGAAAAGACTTAGAGTACTTGGATCTAACGGAGGACATGACACAAAACCGAGCGCAATGGCGTTCTAGGATTCATATAGCCGACCCCACTTAGTGGGAAAAGGCTTTGTTGTTGTTGTTGTTGTTGTTGTATAGTTTTCCGTATGGAGGAACAAAACAAAAACGATCAATCCCTTCTCTAGTCAAAGCTAATTCGGCAAAGAATGAAAGCACCAAGATACTAAATAAATATATCTCACGAACAAAAGAAAAGTAAACAAACCTGACAAATTCCAAGACTAGAAAAGCGTTTAGTGTGTTCCCAGTCCTTTTTATCAAACGGATCTTCAACTGACACAATTGGGTACTCTGACACCCCAAACACAGGGAAGGAAGGCAGAAAAGGTAAGTCGCAGTGCAAAATTGCAAATCAAATACACAACCATTGAGAAACAGAAAAGGAGAGACTGACTTACCACTACAAAGTTCTTTATACATCTCAATCATATCATCAGCCGACTTGAAATTTTGCCCCTTATCCACTGATTTGTAATCCAGGTCGTACTTTGTACCTGTATTCATGGGGAAAACAGAAAGGAAAATATTGTCATTAAATTATGCATGAATGCATGTTCTTTTTGAAAAAGAATATAAATTTTAATCATTACTACAAGATAATTTAGCCTTGGATTTCCATCAACAAAACATAAAATGCAATTATTTTCCCAAATTGCTGTTACAGAAAAAGATCAATTCTCAAGAAAGATCCATCACCTATGCAAAAGTCAGTAGCAGCAACATCAATTGCTAGTTTGATTTGGTCATTATAATCCGTTCTACTTATCGCCTCTTTTACAAGATCCAAGACTTCTTTAATGCTGCCACGAGATATAGAAATAATTTTTAAAATGGCATATCTTCTAATTAGTTCGGAAGTTTCTCATAAGGCACAAAGTAATGGCCATTGTAAACAGCTTAAAAAAAACCTAAAACAATGTGGTTTAAGTTTTAACACATTTTAGGAACATCTAAGATGATTTTCCTCTTCCAAAGACTTTTTTCTCATTTTGGGAAGCCGTCATGGGGATTCATGAGGCAAAGAAATTAAAGAACACTACAGGTCACGCAAAAAAGACTTGCCTCAAGATGTTGGGAGCAAAACCACCATCTTCACCAACATTACATCCATGTGCACCATATTTTTCTGTAATAACAGCCTGCTCTTTTTGTAAACAATAATAGTCATCAACAAAAACAATAATAGTTATCAATAAAACTGAGAGATGCTGCTATGAAAACAAAGTGGGACATAATGGCATCGCCTTGTTCACATGTACAGAGAAAGGTCCTTTTCCAATTTCTTATGCACATGGGATGCTGAGCTATTGACTTGATTATTTAAGCCAAATAAATTCCATGCATACTCCTAGATTTGCCACTTGCGAGCAGCTGTGAAGAGCCATGAAATTTATTTCAAGGATTACCATAATGGCAATGATAAAACTGAAATCAGTACATACTCTGATATTTAACATTCGGAATGGCACAAGTCACTTAAAATTTGGATGAAGTTTTCATTTTCAGAGCTAATTTTCATTGTCACTAATCTAGCAGAATATTTGTTGAAAATCTGGCACTAAATAAAGCTTTTAAAAAGCTTTTAGGTCAAATCAATACTTACTAAAATAAGAAAAGTTGCGTTCAGGTCCATTGCAGTTTAAAACACAACAATGTGCTATATACTTTGCCACATAAAATAAGGTGATTGCTTGTAGGAAATGAGTAACTCAACAGGTCTCGAAAAATGGAAAAAGATTTTTTTCTCATCATTAAAAGCAATACACGGAATGTAATCTCCAAAGTCAACAGTTGAGATGAAAAGTACCTTCAGGTGATGATAGGTTTCAGATCCCATTTGCAATGCCTCCTCAAACTTGCTAGCTCCAATTGGGAGAATCATAATTTCCTAAAAATTTCAAGTCTAAGTTTAATTATAAGGACATGCAGACAAAAATTTGAAGTGTTCATGCCAAAAAAATCTATATTGAGATCTACGTAAGCAGCTTCGGCAGGCGTATAAAAAATTGTTATAGGAGGAACCAAGGAGAGCATTAAGCAGTTGTTACTGACACAATCAATTCATAGAGAAGTATTTCACCAGTGAATTCGATTGTAGTTTCCCAATAGCGAATTTCAAATATTTAAAATGTTAAGCTCATTTTTAGTAAAATGCCATACTTTCATGATGTCAACACAAGTTACCCACATCAACCAAATGATCCAAATATATTGAAACCCCTCTCCCCACATACATTACAACCGAAATAAAAGAATTGGTAAATACATATCTATAGATTCAAGCTTACCAGAGCATACCTGAATGGCCAGATTATTCCCAGCACGCTTTCCTCCACTAATAACAGTAAAAGCAGGGACAGGCAAGGTCAGGTGGCCGTTTCCAGAAAGGCCAGCAATATGTTTGTACAGTGGAACCTGATGTTTATCTTTACTCAGACACTTTTGAGAAAAAAAGTATACAAATTTTAGCAATACTAATAGAAAAATACTCATGCCTCCTTTTGAGCAGCTCCAGCTTTGCAAGCAGCAATTGACACAGCCAATATGGCATTTACTCCAAGTTCGCTCTGAAAGATGATTTGATAATAATCATAAATCCAAAATCATAAATAAAAAGTAATATTACAAATGCTTAATAGAGTTATCCTTCACAGTTGCAATTATGCAGCGACAGAAATTATGACCGATGTCTATTATTTATATTTTTTATAGCTAGACAAGAAGGGTCATAGCATACTACCAAACAACATACTAGATAACAGAAATGCAATTTCATGAAAGCACCGATGTATATTAGCAACAAATTCTCAGACAGCTCAATTACATCAAGTTCCACTGAAAAACGAAAAATGTTACCTTCTTTTCTGTTTTATCGAGGTCCATCATTGCCTTATCAATCTGAGTCTGAAGTGTAGGATCCATACCCACCAATGCTTCAGATATTTTCTCATTGACATTCTTAACAGCTTTACTCACACTATTTCCAAGATATAATCCCTTGTTCCCATCTCGCAGTTCAGTAGCCTCGTACCTAGTTTCAACAAATCCCCCCCTTGATAATTGTTCTCGGAATCATATACTTTTGATCGACCTCAAATAGCATTGTCTACTAGAGGCATAACCAATATAGTTACTTAATAGCAACGCTCTTGATCAATGCAATTACAAATCAATTTCTGAGTCATACAAAGCATTTCCACACGCAGTTATACAAAAAATGCAATTCAATTGAAACAAAAGGTCTTATGTTTTCGAACAAATACAATTCTCGGCAGCCAAACAACACACACACACAGAGATAGCCACAGAGAGCTTACATTCCAGAAGCATCAGAGCTAGGAGCCGAAGCACGAAACATTCCTTTGTTAGTGTGGAGGTCGACTTCAACGGTAGGAATTCCTCTGCTATCGAGGATCTGTCGAGCTTTGACCTTCGTTATCACTGAAGGAAACGCTTTCTTCATATGATTCGACTGCGTAATTCAATTCAAGAACAAAGAAAAACAACAAAATCATTTCACAGCTCAAACAAAACTAATCAAGAAACTACAATTTCCCTCTCCTTCCAAAAACTTTCCTGCATATTCATTTTCCCAGTAACCAAACAGAATCACAGATGAGAGCGAGAGCAGAGATTTACGATGAAGAGGACGGGATCGGAGGCCTTAGCCTTAACGGCGGCATTGACGGCGTCTTCGATTTTCCGAGAGAGCAGGTGGTTATCCAAGTAATCTTGCACCGACATTTCTTCTTCTTTTTCATTTCGGTCGCCGACCGAAACACCGGCGGTTTTCAGTTGGCCCACAATCCGACCTTGTCTGACTGAACCCATTTGACCTGCCATAACCAAACTAGTCCACGATTCAACCCGTTTTCAGTGTAACTGGCGTACTATTCGACCCGGCCCAACCGAAACTCCACTATGGGACCCAGTCCAGATTCGTAAACCTGATCACGGGAAATGAAAAATCTTTATTTTTAAAAAGTCACCGAAAATTACAAGCTAAAAAAAGGAAAAGATCCTCATCAGATCGTTTTTTGGAAATCCTAGGGATCTTATAATTGTGATCATCTATAGTACATTATACGGTCCGTTTTTATTAAATAGTATTTATATTTAATTTTAAATTTTAAATGATTTCTGATCGTATGATATACGATGAACGATTACGATTAAAGAATGCTTAAAATTTTCAGGAAAATGATCCGGCATTGATCCTTTTACCTTAAAAAAAAAAAAAGTTCATATTTAAGCATCTGTCATCTTTCGATTTGCTCAATTAAAAACAGTTGTTCAGCCGAGACATCAAGCTAATTTTGTTTTTAGAATTTACTTCCATAGATCAAAATCTGTTAATCATAAATGCCATATAATGAGGAAGTTTGAAAGTTTTCTACGTGGCTCATTATTTAGTGCCACTAGTTCAATATTTCACATCATCGTCTTATATTTTCGAAAGATATATTTTAGTTCTACTTCAGTACAAAAACCTCAGATCGTAAGCCCGATACATTGGGTTGGTCCGGTTCGTGTTGGACCTCGGTTGGGGTTGGACCGCCCGATTCCGATTGTACCGTTCGGTTCGGTCCGAATCTCCAGGTTGCTTTCGTAGCCTTTCCAACTCAAGTTATTAGTTCTTAGGGGTTTTTTTTTTTTACATCTAGTGCCCTAAAGCCTTGTGATTTGAGAGTCATTGACCTAAAGCTCATTATATGGGTTGGATTGAAAGCGTAAGGGAATTGGCACTGATCTGTTATTGAAAGAGAGAAAAAAAAAAGAGAGATTACTCATATCAGGCCAAGCAACTCAACATTACGAGCACATTTATCCTAAAAACAACATGGAATTTGAAGATCGAACCTGTTCATATAAATCTTCTGAATCGTAGTAATGGACGAAGGTGATGAAAACACAAATACTTGAGAGAAGTCAGCTGAGGGTGAAAAAGTATGGAAAGATATCATTAGTGATTAGTTGCTTAATTAGGAAGACACCTACATCTGAGGCGAAATGAGATGGAACGTATAACAAAAATAATATCATCTCTCGAAGCAGTTAATTATGGCAGAGACAGAGTAACAAATAAGAATTAATTTTCGGGTCAGCATTACCATAACACATAACAAGCAGGTTGAACCAGTCCAGACAGATCAACACTGCAAGTATAATTAAAATTTAAAACATGGAATTCAAATATATTACCTTTTTGTGTAAAACTGTGAAGCTCAAGTAATGGGTGAAGGTAATGAGAAGACGAAGACTTATAAAACAGGCTCAGCTTAAAGCCATACACAAGGGGGTGCAGATGTTATGGTCCAGCATTTTGGCTTTTGCTTTTGAAAAGCTAATGAGGTGTTAATAGCATCTCTAAGGAAGATATCGAAGACAAAAACTTGTACGGATTCCACCATAAAATCAATTGGTAATATAGGGAGTGACCCAACTTATTTAAAACTCATGCAAGGTCCCTCATTCCATTAATGTGGGATTCATTTTCAACGGAAACAGAAGCGTCACCATCCTGCATTAGATAACCAAGCTTTAGCTTTTGAAAAGAAGTGAGGATCACTTGGCCACCATCTTTACCATTATGACTTAGCTAGGAAGAAATTTACGGTTTCATCACCTGCAAATTCATTACTTAGCTAGGAAGAAATTTATGGTTTCGTCGTACCTGCAGGTTTGAAGCTCTGAAAATAAGTATAGCATGATGACTTTAACTCCAGCTCACCAGGTGTTAACAGATTCTCCAAAGGAGACAGCAAGGCAACCTAATGAGTTTGCTCAAACTATAGTTCAATTTTGGTTAAATTGGGTGCAAGGGCCTCTAATTAGTCTTTTTGTAAGAGAGATTGATGCATCTGATAGCTAACAGTAACTACAACTGATAAGTTCACTAGCAGTCAAGCATTGATATCCCTAGCACTAACATAAGAAAATATTTCTTCATCCTCACTCATCATATCTCCAAACACTAGAGGATCAAGAAATATATGATGGTTAGTATTATTTTTTACTTATTTACACACACGAAAAACATTTTTGTGCCTTTTGATTTAGTATTAATCTTTATAGACACAATTGTTCGTGTTTTAGAGCAAAAGAGATGTCAAAAGCTTCGAACCTGATTCTCTTTATAAAGATACATTTTGGGACGTCTTAAGCTTTAAAAAGATACATTTTGAGCATATTTTGAGGAAGGCTGCATTTGAGGATTTGTTGGGGACGTCTTAAACTTTAAAAAATACATTTTGGGACGAAATTGGAGTTGATTTGATTGGTCAAAAGTCTGATTCTATCTACCATCCGAATTTGACTTTAAATAGAAAACCTTTTATTTCTTATTTTATTATTTTACTTATTCTAGATTTATTAGAAAGCCTTGTTTAGTTGGGGATAAGGAATAAAGCACTATAAATATAGTGTATTGTATTAGGGTTCTCGACTCATTAATTTGGAGAACTTGACTAGGCTTTGACGATTTGTTTTCTTGTTGCAAGGTGTTTTTTCTCCTTGTTCTTAATAATATTTTAGTTATGAATATGTGTAACTAATTTTTTTTTGCTAGGGGCGAGGCCACCGGTGTCACATCCTGGCTCGAGCCCCTATCACATTTAGGGCTCGACTCCACCGTAGCACGATATTATCCATTTTGGGCCCCGACCATGCCCTCAGTTTTGTTTCTGGGAACTCACACGAGAACTTCCCAGGGGATCACCCATCCTGGAAATGCTCTCGTCCGAACTCGCTTAACTTCAGAGTTCCGATGGAACCCGAAGTCAGTGAGCTCCCAAAAGGTCTTGTGCTAGGTAGAGATGAGAATTTACATATAAGACTTACATGATCCACTCCCTTGTGCAATGTGGGATGTTACAATTCACCCCCCTTAAGGGCTCGACGTCCTTGTCGTCACACATACCGACCCGGGCCCCCACCACATCCCGGGCTCGACTCCACCGTAGCATGATATTGTCTGCTTTGGACCCTGACCACGCCCTCACGGTTTTGTTTCTGGGAACTCACATGAGAACTTCCCAGGGGGTCACCCATCCTGGGAATGCTCTCGTCCGAACTTACTTAACTTCGGAGTTCCAATGGAACCCGAAGCCATTGAGCTCCCAAAAGACCTCGTGCTAGGTAGAGATGAGAATATACATATAAGGCTTACATGATTCACTCTCCTGGACGATGTGGAATGTTACAACCGGCCTTATGTAGTTTCTTTTCAATTCACTTATTATATTACGCATGTATGTTTTGAATTGTTAATTATTGTGTTTAAACTATCTTTGCGTCTTGATGCTTGATCATAGTTAGGATATTTAGGAAAGTAATTTGATGTAATTTTAGTCAGAAGGTTCATGAACTTGACTATGGCTTCTTGTGGTTAATAATTGTAAGTTCACTTAGGGCGAACACCACGTCTAAAGGATTGCATGATTTTTCAAAGGGTTTTTATAAAGGGTAATGAGTCTTTCATGCTCACATTTGATCTGGACATCCGGAGAGATTCCAAGTTTGATATACGTTCTAGATTGTAGGTTCAAGTAGAGCATACTTTAGGAAAACCTAACCTTTAATATACGTGTTGGTAATTTATAAGTAATTGGGAGAACAACGTAGGATTATTAAGATGACCGCAGAACCCTAGTGCATTTTAAATTGATTTTCCAAACCATTTTCTTTTAGTTTATTTTACTTTTGCCGATTTCTTTAAAATTATTTTTAATTAGTTTTTTTTAATCATTTCAAGTCACAATTTCAATTTATTTGTTTCAATAATTAATTAAGAATTAGTTTTAAATATAATTTATTTTTAATAATCTCTGGAGGGTGGATGTGGAGCATTTATACTCCAACTACCTTATACTTTTACAAATATTTTTAGGTGGTTTAATCCACATTTTGTGCATGTACCAAAAATCCTATCAACCATAACACTGAGACCACTACGTGGTGTTTTCATTCCATTCTACCAACGGTTTTATTTAGTATACTATTTTCAAAATATAAAACTATTGTCCACTCATGCTGTAATAAAATGAAATTAATACATTCGAACTTGGCCATACACTCAAACACCAATCCCAAGTTTGCATAATCACGAAAACATTACAGTCCTGTTTGAAACAAAAAAAAAAAAAAAAAAATCATTACATCCGATCCCTCTTCATCTTATATAACCAAGCTCTGGTTATGCTTGATATGGCTTGCTAATGAAGGCATTAGTTAGGGCAGAGTCACTAGCAAAAGAAGCCACCAGAAGATTCAAAGCCTGCAAACAAATAAGGAATATTTCAGGAGTCATCAGCAAACTATTTAATTAGCTTCCAAAATTCATTAAAACCATCGAAATCTTTGCCTAATGCCCTGAAGTGCTTAAAAGATCCTGCAAGTTAATACTCAGGATTCTTTTAGTATAGGCAATCGAAAATTATAAATGACTACTCACCTCCTTCTTGCCCATAAGCACAACTCTTTTTTCAGTGTCAGTGAAGGGTACATTCAATTTGTCAAGAACAGACAGCTCAAAGATTGTAGATATAGGTCTTATGACCAGATTGTCAGTTACTGTGAAAAACGCCGGTCCTTTTAAAAATCCTCCAGCACTGGAGACGCGATTTGTGGGTTCAATTTTAAACAACTCCGATGAGCTATTAGAAGGGATAAGGGAACTATCGGTAGTTAGCCTGCCGTCGAGATAATAATATGAGGCTACCTCAATCCCTAAAAGACTGTTGTAGCAAAAATCAGGATTCAGCTTCGGATCGACTAGCATTTCCTTGTGATGATTTGACTTCAAGTATTGTGCATCGAGATCTTGGACGCTCCGGTACAATTGATCAATGCAGCCCTTCAGAGACCCATCCTGTATCTGCTTCGCTACAAACCCAAGTGGCAGAGTTAGGAAACTGAAAAGTAAATTAACAAAATCCTCCCCGGCTTCTGCGTAGCAAACAATGTTCTTGGATTTGCTAATTATCAGCTTGATAGAAATGTTGTCTTCTTCCGTCAGCACTGTCTCCCCTACTGTTTGAGGATCAATGTGTATGGCTTGATAATTATTTTCATTGCTCCGTTCGGCCACGGGTTTATGCTTCAGCAGAGTTTCGGTCAATAGTGTCTTTGATACTAAGGAGCTTATAAGCAAATTCACAACCTGGGAAAAAAATAAAGCCAGAAATCACCGCTGCAATTTTAACGAAATGTTAATTAAGGCATGCATAAATCAACAATTGAGTACCTCATCAACTCCAATATTCAAATTCAACTCCTCGGTAGTATTCCTATTGGTGACTCCAAGATTGGTAAATAAAGAATCGATTGATTCGCTAAAAGGGGAGATCAGTTGTAAATCATCGGTAATCAGAAGCCTGGCTCTCTCTTTTACAAAGGCGCTTGCAACATCCACAGAAAATGTAATCTCCCTATACGAGTAAGAGTTGCAGGCTCCGCACCATGTACCTGGGTTATAACGGAATAACTTTCTAGTGGTCTGGTTCAGGCACCAAGAGCATCCAAAGTACTGTGTTGGCTTGGCATTGTGATCAATTTGCAATACAAGGTTCTTGCAATGAGATTCAGCCGCGTTGCGGGGAAGCAACAACATTTCTCTACATGCATCTGACCGCAACTCACTTACGTCAATTTCCTCCACACTTGAATACAAATTGTTCATGCATCCTATTTCCACTGGTGCTGAATGCTCACGACCAAGCTTGATTATTGTTCCTAAGGGGATTGTCAAGAAACTTACAAGAACATCGATAAAAGCTTTGCCGGACTCTATGAAGATAATTTTGTTGCTCCCCTTATCCACCAAAGCCTTCAAGTTTATCTTATTCTCCATAGTCGGACTAGGTATGAATTGTTAAGAGGTTGCCTTTTTTACCCTTCTCTGCAGAATTTCAGTAAGTGGCAACCTATTTCCTGCGGAACATGAAAGGAGCAAGTGAGAAATCAAAATTGGCAGTATTAAGTTTCATAAGTAGGCAGAGATTACACGGATAACAAACACGATTCATATCTAAAAAACCCGAATGCAGAATATAATTGTAAAACATATTCCACCTACAACTGATGAGTGATTAGATGGAACGTTTAACAAAAAATAATATGATCTCAAAGAAGCAGTTATGGCAGAGACAGTATAACAATGAATAATTAAATTCCAGATCAGTATTAACATAATACATATCAAGCAGATTGAACAAGTCCAGAAGGATCAAAACTGCAATTACAATTAAAATTGAAAGACATGGAATTCAAATATAAAACCTTTTTGTGTAAAACTGCGAAGCTGAAGTAATGGGTGAAGGTAATGAGAAGACAGAGACTTATAAAGCAGGCTCAGCTTAAAGTAATACACAAGTGCGAGACGATTGCAAGGGGGTGCATATGTTATGGCCCAGCATTTTAGCTTTTGCTATTGAAAAGCTAATGAGGTGTTAATCGCATCTCTAAAGAATATATCGAAGACAAAAACCTGTACGGAAGTTGTATAGTGACAAATAAAGTTAAGGTCTCACCATAAAACCAATTGAGAATATGGAAAGTAACCCAACTTACATATAAACTCATGCAATGTCCCTTCTCAAATCAATATGGGATTCATTTTCAACAGAAATAGAAGAAGCGTTGCCATCATACATTAGATAACAAAGCTTGAACTTTTGGAAAGAAGTTAGGGTCACTTGAGTGGGGGGTGCATATAAAGGGCCACCATCTTTAGCATTGTGACTTAGCTAGGAAGAAATTTACAGTTTCATTACCTGCAGGTTCATTACTTAGCTAGGAAGAAATTTACAGTTTCATCGTACCTGCAGGTTCGAAGCTCTGAAATTAAGTATAGCATTATGAATTTAACTCCAGCTAATCTGGTGTTACCATAATCTCCAAAAGAGACATCAAGGGCAACCTAATGAGTTTGCTCAAACCAGTTCAATTTGGTTAAATTGCGTAGAGAGGTTGACGCATTTGATAGCTAACTGTGATTACAACTGATAAGGTGTACTGAAAGATGAAAAATACGAGAAATTTTTCCAAGTACCTGGAGTTCCCAGCGAATAGAACCATAACACCTGGCTATTTCAGTTTTAAAGTTAAAAAAAATTGCCACGTAGTCATTTAAGTGAAGTTTTGTTAAATAACCCGAATTTTTGGTCCACTAAAAAATTTCTCCGAGTAGAGAAGGAAAAGCAAAAAACCTGCGTTAATTAGATGCAGAAAGTTAATGACGAACAATTGTTCATTAAATCATTAGAAATTAAACCCATGAGTAATATCCCTAATTAATAGTAATAGTATAACAGCAGTCAAGCATTGATATTCATAGCACTGACTAAGAAAATATTTCTTCATCCTTATTGATCATGTTCATGTCGCCAAACACTAGAGAATCAATAAATAAAGACTTTGTTTTTATATTCAAAAGGATGCTTAAAATTAGCATAACTCCTTATTTTGGTTCTTGAGATTTAAAATTTATAGAAGTGGTCCCTGAAATTATTTATCGTCAATCATTTTGGTCATTCTATGAAAAATCTCTGTTAAATTAGGGGGTGGTTGATTTGACAAAAATACCCTCAATTTAACGGAGATTTTCACAGAATGATCAAAATAATTGACAATGGACAATCTCGTGACCACTTCTATCGATTTTAAATTTCAGGGATCAAAGTACGTAGCTACAACAATCTCAGAAACCATTTTGGCTAAAAAGCCATAAATATATGTTGGTTAGTATTATTTTTTATTAATTTACAAACACACAAAAAACATTTTTGTGCGTTTTGATTTATTAGAGCATCTCTAAAAGAGATGTCAAAATGTCCAAATAAGCACTAACAGCTGAAAAAGGCAGCAATAATGTTTTCCAACCGAAAAGACAAATCCGATGTAACATGACATGAATTACGAGCCTTCGCCATCACTGTCAAAATTGATAGCAGCTTCAAAGTTTTTTTTTAATTGATTATTAAATGCCTTTTATTAATTTTATTATTCTTTTTGGTTTTTAAACATTCATTATTGTTTTAAAACAAAAGTCTGATTTGCAAATAAGATTCTACTAGATTGAAGTTATTGTCATTTTTTTTAACTACATACGAAGGTAATCCTTCAGCACTAATTCAAACACACAATTTAAGGTTAATTTTCATGCTAACAGTATAAAATATTGTGCCAAAAATACATAAGGACTCAGAAAGTCCACAAAAAATCTCGCTCCTTAACATTTATCTATGAAGTTATCTGAATCACGTTGGACGACGAAACATCAAGAAAACCCAATAAATGCAACCTTCGATGTAAATGCATGATGCAGCACCATGCTGATTAAATGCAACACTATTAACTCAACCATTTCACATAAGCATCAAATGCTTCGAAATTTTAATTCGCTTGGCATCAAATAAGTGGAGAAATTTTTTATTGAGACGGAATTATGTAAGTGATGAGAGACATTATTTTTTAAGTTATTAACTTTTTAACATACATATCTCATTATTTATACAATGATACGTGATGTACCACCCCGTGTTCTAATCAAACTGAAAAATTTCTCAAATAAATTGGGCTAAGTGAGTACTTCATCAGACCCCGCTTGACCACTCACCTCATTCCAATTGGTTTTGAGGTGAAATTTCAACTTAGAGCACGTAAGTTATATTACATGTATGGAGCAAGAGGGAACTTCTTCGAAAAGGGCAACTGGTTGATATCTGTTAGGCATCAAGTTGTTCGTTCTTAGCTTATCGTTCGTGCGCAATAAAGTTGTATGTATTGTGGGTTAACTTGTACATTTTGTTTAACAGGGGATTGTTAAAAATTGGCACATAAATTTCTGCAAAATTGTAGATTACATCCTGGCTGTCTAAATTTTGTTTCAATTATCAAGACGCTTATTGATTTCTTCCTAATATGAGTTGAATTCCGTATGTATCACATCACATCATGGTTCTACACATTTTCCAGGAAAAGTTCTTTTGTACAAATTTTCGTGACAGGCTAGATTATCTTCGGCAAACCCACACACTTAAGGAGATTGCAGATCGATCACATATGTAACAAGTATTCTCACACAAAAATACACATTAGAGTTTGAGTTTGTATCATGTTTATAATCATGCTTTCAACTTTGTTCTTGCTTTGGCCTTTTGTTCTGCTTTGGCCTTTTGTTCTGCTTTGGCTCCCTAATGAAGACGTTGGTTAGCGCAGAGTCACAAACAAAAGAAGCCACCAAAAGACGCAAAGCCTGTAAGAAGAAACATAAACAAGAGTCATCAACAATTTAAAGAATATATTGTCTGTGAAAATAAATAGCGTCAAGATTTCATCGACAATTATAATATATAATTGATACCTCCTCTTTTCCCACATGCACGATTTTCACTTCAATGTCAGTCGAAGGCACCTTCAATTCATTCAGGAGAGACAGGCCAAAGATTAGAGATATAGGTCTTATGATCAAATCGTCAGTTACTGTGAACATCGCCGGTTCTAAAAATCCTTGGCCTTGAACTCCTTTTTCTTGATCTTGGTAGGATTTGGGACCCATGACTTTCATTGACTTGATAGAACTTTCAACATCACTTGTTCCGAAAACACTTCCTCCAAAAGACGAAAACCCAGCTGAAATACGAGAAGCGAGAAGAGTTTTATCAGTAGACAGCAAGCCACGGTTACTTGCATAATAAAATGTGGCCTCCTCAGTTCCTAAGAGATGGTTGTCATGGCAAACACCGGGGGCAAGCTTGGGGCTGAGTAGTATTTCTTTGTGGTAGTTTGACTTCATGTAGCGATTGTCAAGATCTTGGACACTCTTGAACAACTGACTAATGCATCCTTTTAATGAGCAATCACGCATTTTGTTTACGATGAAACCCAGTGGAATAGTTAGGAAACCGAGGAGTAAATTCACAAAATCCTCCCCGACTTCTGCATAACAAACCATCTTCTTAGATTTGCTCACTATAAGCTTGACAGAAATGTTTCCGTTTGTATTCTTTGTGCCTTCTACAATTTCAGGTTCAAAATCTGCTACTTGATTTTCTTGCTCAATTTCCGTATTCGTTTATTCTTTAGCAGAGTTTCTGTCAGCGGTGTCTTTGATACTAATGAGCACACAAGCAATTTCAAAACATAAAAGCAGAAGACACAAGACATGTCAATACTTCAGTTACCTCATCAGATCCGACATTGAAAGTCACCTCCTCAGTAGTATTACCATTCATGACTCCAAGCTCTGAAAATATAGAAAGGCTTTCCGCAGTAAAAGGAGGCATCAATTGTAAATCATCACTAATTATAAGTCTGGCTGGTCCTTTCACAAAGATGCCTCTGTCTTGAAACGCTGAAAGTTCTCTCTCTCCATACATCATTCCTCCACAACAATCACAGCTAAGAACATCGCTGCTATAAGTTATACATTCACTTCTTTGGCAGATAAAGTACTGTGTGGGTTGACCACGGTCAATCTTCAGTTTGAGGTTCTTGCAATGAACTTCGGCCCCATTCGGGGGACATAACAACATGTCTCTACATGCTTTAGACCAGAAATGCTTTACATCCATATTCTCAACACTCGCATACAAATTTTTCATACAACCTATTTCTAAAGGTACTGATTGATTTGGTGCCAGCCTGATAATTGTTCCCATGGGGATTGTCAAGAAACTCAAGACAACATCAATAAAATCATTTTCTGACTCTATGAACATAATTCGGTTGCGCTCCTTGTCCACCAAGCCTTTCAAGCTAATGGTGTTCGCCGATGTATTAGCCATGGATTGCAGCAGAAAATAATTTCAGCCTTGAAATTCACAAACCCATCAGAAAAACATAACTCATAAAATCCAAAATATAATTCACAAAGTAACATGAAAAACAAAAACAGGATATGCTTGACCGTTAAACTAGACTATTAACTAAATCAAGCAGATTACTCATGTCAGGCCAAACAGCTCAACATTACGCGTGCATTTCAAAAGACAGAGACACAGATCAAACTCAGGTTTTATACCTTTCAAAAATTATGGATCTGCGATTTCCAGTGTCCTTGCTCTTCAGATCCAAAATGAACATGCATGAATTTTTAAATGGATTTTTCGAACTGCTGATCTTACTGAACAGGAACGAAAAAGGGGAGCTCAGTGGGTTATACCTTTAAATGACGGATCTAGAACGTAGACAACTCCGTGGCGGTTTCCTTTCCTTGAGATGCGATTTGGGTCTGTGCCAGTGCTTCCATCGTCGTTTTTTTACATGTCTCAGGTCCCTGCAAAAGAAACAACACAAGCATGAGGAGTTAAAGATTTTTTCTTGTATGGTATATTTCAATCGGTGAACCTGAGTGCATTAATCGGCAAGGGAGGGTGAGAAGTTTACCTCTGAATGCATCGGCACCAAGATCGGTGCTGCTACCCTTCTGGTGATGCACTAAATCCATGGCTGCGAGGTCTGATGGGTTGATGATGGAAGATTAAGGTTTGGTTTGCAGAAACGGAGGTTAGGGTTTGAGAAAATGTGAAGAGAGGAGCTGCGGTTTTAGGGTTTGCTTGGAAGAAGGGAGAGAGAAATGAGGGAGGTGAGGCTCTGGGCTCGAGGTGAAGACTTGAAAGAGGGAGAGCTCTCAAACGGCTAGAATTTGAAAAGTTAGAAAACTGAGCTGCTAAATGAGTTTATATATTCTTTTTCTAGGGTTTCCACCAGATTGGTTTTGCACGTGTGGCGTGTGAGAGGCTCAGCGCCCCTGTCAAGTTTCCCACAGGTCACGAGTTCGGCTCCAGCACACAGCACATCTATTTTTAGATTAATATCTATAGTTTATTTCGTATAAGTAATTTTTAATAGGGGTGGTTAACAAATTTTTGAAACTGGAATTTGAAGACCAATCCCAAACTAAAATGTTTCAGTATTTCAGCCAAAATTTAAGTATTCCTAATTTTAGGAATTCTCGAAATATTTTCGGTATTTCGGATGGTTTGGTATTCCCAAATTTCATACAAATTGAAATAGCAATCATTCATATATACTAAGTTAAATTAACATGCAACCAAAATAAAATAAGTAACAAACCCAAAAGCAAAAAAAAAAGTTACAAACCTAGTATGTTCTAAAACTAATACAATTTTTTTGATTTGGTGTTGAAGAAATAGACACATTTATGAGAGGTTCGTACCAGCAGATGTGGCGATAAAAGGCTATGATTATATACTACCTATAGACCACACCAATTATATTGCTACTATTAGTTAGTTTTTATTATTATTTCAAGTCACAATTTCAATTTCTTTGTTTCAATAATAAATTAAGAATTAGTTTTAAATATAATTTGTTTTTAATAATCCCTGGAGCATTTATACTACAATTACCTTATACTCTTACAAGTATTTTTGGGTGTTTTTATCCACACTTTGTGCATGTACCAAAAATCCTATCAACCATAACACTGCGACCGCTACGTGGTGTTTTCATTCCATTCCACCGACATTACAACATATGTTTTATTTAGGATACTATTTTCAAAATATAAAATTATTGTCCACTCATGTTGTAATAAAATGAAATTAGTACATTCGAACTTGCCCACACACGCAAACACCAATCCCAAATTTGCATAATCATGAAAACATTACAGTCCTGTTTGAAATTAGTACATTCTTCATCTTAAATAGCCAAGCTCTGGTTATGCTTGATATGGCTTGCTAATGAAGGCATTAGTTAGGGCAGAGTCACTAGCAAAAGAAGCCACCAGAAGACTCAAAGCCTGCAAACAAATAAGGAATATTTCAGGAGTCATCAGCAACTATTTAATTAGCTTCCAAAATTCATTAAAACCAAGTCTTTGCCTAATGCCCTCAAGTGCTTAAAAGATCCTGCAAGTTAATACTAAGGATTCTATTCGTATAGGCAATCGAAAATTATAAACGAGTACTCACCTCCTTCTTGCCCATAAGAACAACTCTATTTTCAGTGTCGGTGAAAGGTACATTCAGTTTGTCAAGAACAGACAGCTCAAAGATTGTAGATATCGGTCTTATGACCAGATTGTCAGCTACTGTGAAAGACGCCGGTCCTTTCAAAAATCCTCTAGCACTGGAGTTGTTATCTGTGGGTTCGATTTTACATGACTCCAATGGCGTATTAGAAGGGATAAGGGAACTATCGGTAGTTAGCTTGCCGTCGAGATAATAATATGAGGCTTCCTCAATTCCCAAAAGACTCTTGTAGCAAAAACCAGGAACAAGCTTCGGATTCAGTAGCATTTCCTTGTGATGATTTGACTTCAAGTATTGTTCATCGAGATCTTGGATGCTCCGGTATAACTGATCAATGCATCCCTTCAGAGACCCATCCTGTATCTGCTTTGCTACAAACCCAAGTGGCAGAGTTAGGAAACTGAAAAGTAAATTAACAAAATCCTCCCCGGCTTCTGCGTAGCAAACAATGTTCTTGGATTTGCTAATTATCAGCTTGATAGAAATGTTGTCTTCTTCCGTCAGCACTGTCTCCCCTACTGTTTGAGGATCAATGTGTATGGCTTGATAATTATTTTCATTGCTCCGTTTGGCCACGCGTTTATGCTTCAGTAGAGTTTCGGTCAATGGTGTCTTTGATACTAAGGAGCTTATAAGCAAATTCATAACCTGGGAAAGAAATCACGTCAGAAATCACCACTGCAATTTTAACGAAAAGCTAATTAAGACATGCGTAAATCAACAATTGAGTACCTCATCAACTCCAATATTCATATTCAACTCCTCGGTAGTAGTCCTATTGGTGACTCCAAGATTTGTAAATAAAGAATCGATTGATTTGCTAAAAGGGGAGATCAGTTGTAAATCATCGGTAATCAGAAGCCTGGCTGACTCTGTTACAAATGCGCTTGCAACATCCACAGAAAATGTAATCTCACGATCCATGGAATGTTGGCACCATGGATTAGAGATACCTCGGTAATAACTGAAGAACCTTCTTGTGGCATCCATCATACAAAGAGTATAAGGGCATACAAAGTACTGTGTTGGCTTGGCTTTGTGATCAATTTGCAATACAAGGTTCTTGCAATGAGGTTCAGCCGCGTTGTGGGGAAGCAACAACATTTCTCTACATGCATCTGAACGCAACTTACTTACGTCAATTTCCTTCACACTTGAATACAAATTGTTCATGCATCCTATATCCACTGGTGCTGAATGCTCACGACCAAGCTTGAGTATTGTTCCTAAGGGGATTGTCAAGAAACTTACAAGAACATCAACAAAAGCACTCTCGGACTCTATGAAGATAACTTTGTTGCTCCCCTTATCCACCAATGCCTTCGAGTTTATCTTATTCCCCATAGTCGGACTAGCTATGAATTGTTAAGAGGTTGCCTTTTTTACCCTTCTCTGCAGAATTTCAGCAAGTAAAGTGGCACACTATTTCCGGCTGAACATGAAAGGAGCAAGTGAGAAATCAAAATTTGCAGTATTAAGTTTCATAAATAGGCAGATGTTATGCGGATAACAAACATGATTCATATCTGAAAACCCGAATGCAGCATTTAATAGTGAATATATTCCACCTCCTACAACTGATGAGTGATCAGATGGAATGTATAACAAAAATAATACGATCTCTAGAAGCAGTTATGGCAGAGACACTATAACAATGAACAATTCAATTCCAAGTCAGTATTAACATAATACATATCAAGCAGATTGAACCAGTCCAGACGGATCAACATTGCAAGTACAATCAAATTTAAAAACATATAATTCAAACATCAAACCTTTTTGTGTAAAACTGTGAAGCTGAAGTAATGGGTGAAGGTAGTGAGAAGACAGAGACTTATAAAGCAGGCTCAGCTTAAAGTAATACACAAGTGTAAGACGGTTGCAGGGGGGCGCATATGTTATAGCCCAGCATTTTAGCTTTTGCTTTTGAAAAGCTAATGAGGTGTTAATCGCATCTCTAAATAAGATATCGAAGACAAAAACTTGTACAGAAGTTTTATAGTGACAAAGAAAGTTGAGGTTCCACCATAAAACTAATTGGGAATATGAAGAGTAGCCCAACTTATATATAAGCTCATGCAACGTCTCTCCTCCAATTAATATGAGATTCATTTTCAACAAAAACAGAAGAAGCATCACCATCATGCATTAGATAACCAAGCTTTAGCTTTTGAAAGGAGTTGGGGTCACTTGAGTGGGGGTGCATATAAAGGGCCACCATCTTTAGCATTATGACTTAGCTAGGAAGAAATTTACAGTTCATCACCTGCAGATTCATTACTTAGCTACGAAGAACTTTACGGTTTCATCACCTGTAGATTCATTACTTAGCTTGGAAGAACTTTATGGTTTCATCGTACCTGTAAGTTCGAAGCCCTGAAATTAAGTATAACATTTTGACTTTTAACTCCAGCTAATCGGGTGTTAACAGAATCTCCAAAGGAGACATCAATGGCAACCTAATGAGTTTGCTCAAACTAGTTCAATTTGGTTAAATTGGGTAGAGAGGTGGATGCATTTGATACATAACTGTGACTACAACTGTGACTACAACTGATAAGGTCTACTGAATTACAAAAAATACGATTAGAGAAGAAATAGAAGAAACCTAGTATGAGTGATGAGATGGAACGTATTACAAAAATAATACGATCCCTAGAAGCAGTTATGGCAGAGACAGTATAACAATTAACAATTAAGTTTCAGGTCAGTATTAACATAATACATATCAAGCAGATTGAACCAGTCCAGACAGATCGACATTGCAAGTACAATTAAAATTTAAAAACATGAAATTCAAATATCTTTACCTTTTTGTGTAAAACTGCGAAGCTGAAGTAATGCGGGAAGGTAATGAGAAGACGAAGACTTAATGGGTGAAGGTAATGAGAAGACGAAGACTTATAAAACAGGCTCAACTTAAAGTCATACACAAATGGGAGACGGTTGCAAGGAGGTGCATATGTTATGGCCCAGCATTTTGGCTTTTGCTTTTGAAAAGCTAATGAGGTGTTAATAGCATCTCTAAAAGAAGATATCTAAGACAAAAACTTGTATGGAAGTTTTATGGTGACACAAGAAAGTCGAGGTTGTACGAATTGAATGACGTGGAGCATGTGTCGTGTGGCCGTTGGGCATCACACGTGAACCAACCTGCTTTAATACTGCAAATAAGTTGAGGTTCCACCATAAAACCAATTGGCAATATAGGGAGTAACCCAACTTGCCATTGCAAGGTTTCCCCTTTCACCGATATGAGACTCTTTTACCTTCACATTCTCACAACTTCTATGTTGTGTTACTAATCAATGTGCTATAACATGAGTGAATTGGTAACAAAACGTGACAATGTGATGGTACCAGTGAAAATTACTCGGCATCATTGTATATTTTCACTGACTGCACCTCAAACCAGTGTGGACCAGAAATTCCGTGGCTGCTACTGTTAAAAAACCTGTGTATAGTAGAACAAGGACTCGGCTTCTACGCAATCACTGATCTATTGATCTCACACTCACACGGATGAAAATGCAAAAAGTCCTCGCGTTTTCATCACCGTGAGATTGATCGCATCACTGATGCTCAATTCTAAAAAGGGCAGTATTTTCTCAGTGACGAACTTACAGAAGGGTGCATCACGGTGACCTTATTAAACAACAACCTGATAAGATCGATCAAACAATGAATAATACAATCCGTACGATCAGTTTACAGAAGCAAAAGAAGCGTCACCATCACGCATTAAGATAACCAAGCTTTAGCTTTTGAAAAGAAGTGAGGATCACTTTGAGTGGGGGTGCATATAAAGGGCCGCCATCTTTAGCTTTTGAAAAGAAGTATTCATTAGTTTACTTAGCTAGGAAGAAATTTACGGTTTCATCGTACCTGCAGATTTGAAGCTCTGAAGTTATGTATAGCATTATGAGTTTAACCTCCAGCTAATCAGGTGTTAATAGAATATAATCTCCAAATGATACATAAGAGGCAACCTAATTAATGAGTTTGATCAATATTGTTTAAATTGGGTAGATAGGCCTCTAATTAGTCTTTTATAAGAAAGATTGATGCATTTGATAGCTAACTGTGACTGCAACTGAAAAGGTCTACTGAATTACGAAAAATACGATCATAGAAGAAAAGGAAGAAACACGCATTAGACAGTTAATGACGAACAAATGTTCATTAAATCTGTAGAATATAAAGAAAATTCAACCTCTTCTAGAAATTAAACATGAGTAATATCCCTAATTAAGCTAAACAAGATCTGACTTCTCCAAGGAAGTTGATCAATTGTTGTCCATTCCCAATTAACCGTGACCCCATGATTGGATGACCACAAATTAATGTGATTCAAATCCAAAATGGGCAACCAATATTGTTATCAAAAGATTCAAATTACTACCTATATGTGTTATGAAATATGTAAAATACGAAGAAAGTAATAACAATAACAACTGTTAGATCCCACATCGTTCAGGGAAGTGGATTCTCTATGGCTTATATGTACATATCCACCTCTATTTAACACGAGACCTTTTCAGAGCTCAGCTCACTGCCTTCGGAGTATGAACTCCAAAGTTAAGCGAGTTCTTGCTAGAGCAATCCTAAGATGAGTAACTTACTGAGAAGTTCTCGTATGAATTCCCAGGAACAAAACCGTGAGGGCGTGATTGGAGCCAAAGTAGACAATATTGTGCTACGATAGAATCAAACCCGGGATGTGGTGGAGCCCGGGTCGGGATGTGACAACAACATCCAAATCTTATCTCATTAAATATTTTTTTTTTAATAAACGATATTATTTACACTAAAGCAAACGATTTTATTTACACTAAAGGGGAGGGGGTGAGCTTAGCCTCACTATGTGCTAGTAATAATATAATTCAAATTCTTCTTTGACGAAAATCAAACCTAAAATCTCTCATTTACAAGTGAAGACCGTAGTACTCAATAACAATTAGTCGTATAAATTTTAAAACTCCATTACGTTAGATAAAATAAAAATAGTAGGCATAAAATATAGTGTAACAGCACAGATTCCAAATTACATTAGAACAAAAAATAAAGCTAGGAATTCAAAGTGGCTTTTTCGGTAAAGTCGCCAAAGTAAGGACCAGGGTAATGAAAACACGAAGACTCAAAACCAAACAAGCGTCTCTCTATGTTCACTCTCTCTAAAACAACCAAACCGAGACTCTCCGTTACCCAAAAGCAAAAGTGATCCTCTCATCGTGAGCTTCCTGTCTATGTAAGTGGGTTTCTTCAATTTTAACTTTTAGATTTGAGGTTCAAGATCCTAATTCGATTTAAACTTGCATGCTGAAGATTTGGTTCGTGGTTGTGTTCGGGAGATTGAGTTCGAGCCGGGCTGTAAGAAGGTGGTTCAAATTGTTGGATTTGGGTAAGAACCCTATAAACCTGAACCACCATCTTTCGATTTCTAAGTGCTGGGCTTAATTTCTCTGTGTTGTTTTTACGTGAATTATTTGAAGGTGGTGAGTTTATATTGGAAAGTTTCAAACTTTTTCGCTGGAATTTAAGTGGGTAAAAGTGTATGAGGAAATGGTTAGAAGAGATTGTAAGTGTATCAGATATGGGTTTTTTTCAAACCGCATCATATCCGAATTTGTGTTTATTTTTTGGATTTGAGTTTATATATTTCCTGATCTGAGTTATTGTTTATATATTTTCATGATCCCGAGTTTCATTTTTTATTTTTTTTATTAATATTTAACTGATAGCGCACGATTACAAAAATTGTTGGGAAAGTCATCCGACAAATTGTGCCAAAAACATGAGGTGGTAGAGAGTCCATATAGTCCGCATTTTCCTTGTGCTTAACTCTTTGAGCACAAAACGCCATATTGTGCCCTATGAACAATGTGCACGCCTGCACGGGAATATTTTTATTGCTGTAGTGTTGCCATATAGGACACATATATTGGTGTCCTTAAGCCTCATATGGCACCATTAACTTTTCGTTTGCAGTGCCCATATTTGTAGTGGCTCCGAATAATGAGCTCCGTAGAAAACTTCTAAATTTCTTATTTATGATGAAGGTAGTATGAGTTTTCTTCTTTTAGTATTTATCTCATTGAATTCATATACAAGTTAGGCTTCATTTCTTCTTAGCGTATAAGCCCTTGTCCTTGCAAAGTGGTAGTCTCAAATCAATCAACCCAAAATAATCTTGGGTGTTGGGAGTTCAGAGTTTAGTGATGAACTATTTTGACCTGCAAGTGTGCTTCATTTGTTATTTTTCCTTAACACCATTGATCCAACACGACAAAATGTCTAATCTTGATCACGTATATCATGATTTGCTGAAAATTTCTTTGGAGTATTGCGTTTTTAGTTATTTTTAGTATTATTCTAGATGACTGGCATTTTCTTGTGATAGTTGGTTATTATTTGAATCTCTCTTTCCTGAGCAGGGATTTAATCATAATTTACAAGTATTCATTTCTTCTTTAAAAAAAAGGTAATTCTTTCATTTGCTGTTGGAATTGAATAGAGAATGATACTTATTCCAGTTCATTGTTATTTCTTGCAGTTCATGGAAGAAAAATCTGAAAACAAAATTAGCTTGAAGGTCTTGGTGAACAATTTGACCAATAAAGTCATTTTCGCTGAGTGTGATAATGATTTCGTTGATGTTCTCTTCAGTTTCTTGACAATCCCTATGGGAACTATTGTTAGGCTTTCCCATCATTCCCAATCCTTTGGAATTGGCTGCATTGACAACTTATTTGGAAGTGTTGAGAGTCTTGATTTACAGCTTTTTCGAACTAAAGAATGTCGAGACATGTTGTTACATCCCCGCAATGGAGCTGAAGATCTATTGAGGAACCTCAAATTGAAATATGATCAATGTGAGCCCCCACGGTACTTTAAGTGTTCTAATCGATATTGCTGCAATTTTGCACAAAGGTTTAGTTATTACGAAACTGTTCATTGTTGTTGTGGGGGTCTGATGAAAGTGGAGACCATTTTTACAACGAAACAAGCTGAAGGTGGTGGGGTTTTTGTGGCAGGACCAGGGAGATTTATTATTAGTGATGATTTACAGGTACTGCCTCCATTTACTTGTGCAGTATCTTCTGTAGTTTCGAACCATGGACTCATGGGCTGGAAAAGCGTTGAGGAACTGACTTTTAATGTGGGAGTTGATGAGGTAAATGATGATGTGTTGACATGCAATACCAAGTTAAAATTTTCAACTCGAACTAAAACTCTAGTTTCTGATCTTCACTTTTTGTTTATTTTTTGTTTTCCAGGTTTTGAATTTGCTTATGCGCTCATTAGTATCAGAGACACCTCTGACTGAAACTCTGCTGAAGGATAAAACCATACCAAACATGATTGATGAAAACCTTGACCAAGATTTATGCATTGAATATCGAGAGGTAGAAGGAAAAAGGAATGAGGAAGAAGAAAAGATTTCTATCAAACTTATAGTTAGCAAATCTAAGAAGAAGGTTTATTATGCCGAAGTGGGGGAGGATTTTGTCAATTTACTCTTCAGTTTCTTGACTCTTCCACTAGGGTTTGTAATAAAACAAATGCAACATAACTCTTTGAAAGGTTGCATTGACCAGCTGTACAAAAGTGTCGAAGATCTTGATGAGCAGTACTTGAAGTCAAATTTACACAAGAAAAAGTTGGTGAGTCCTAAGCTCCTCCCTGGATTTGGCTACAAGAATCATCTTCTGGGAATTGAGGAAGCATCGTATAAATGGACTGACTCCGTAGAACCCAAATCCCATTGTAAAGAAGATTGTATTGACTTCGTAGACCCCAAATCCCATCATAAAAAAGATGATAAAGATTGTGGATTCTTGAAAGGACCGGCGATGTTCATGGTAACTGACAGTCTCAATGTAAGTCCAATATCTGCAATTGTCGGCATGTCAATTCTATGCGAACTGAACGTACCTGTGACTGATGTTGAGGTACGAGTGGCTCATGTGGGGAAAGAGGAGGTGAGTCATACCATAAACTCTTCTAATCAAAACACTGGTCTTGTGAAAGTGATTCTTTATTTGAGTCTATACATCTTGTTCCAAGGTTGATGCTTTAGACATGTTTCTCATTGCAGGCTATCCGTCTTTTGGTGGCTTCTTTTGTTTGTCCCTCTGCTCTAACTAGTGTCTTCCTTACGAAGCCAAAGCGATTTGGAGGTTTAGGGTGCCTAAGTTTTCTAATTTAAGAAGAGAATATGCACCTTCTGTTACAAACTTATGTGCCTTTCTCTTTGCACTATCATCGTTTTGTGTTATATGACCCATATTTTGTGCTGCTTCTAGCATAATTATTTAAGGGATGCATCTTGCTATTTTCAGATAATATTCTTGTTTTTTTTGGTTTCTCTTCATGTCTTGCTTTCATTGTGAAGCTAGTCATTGATTTCAGACAATTAGGAAGAAATGAAATGAAAAAATTGTGACTGGAGGTAGGAGATGGATGACTCAAGAAGAAAAGAGTACGTTGAGTCATACGAGGAAAGCCTCGTCTGACTCTTTACTTGGACGAGACTGATGCAATTTCTTTTCGAGGGAAAAAAAAAGTATGGTGATGGCATTGGCTCTTTTTGGTTTCCACTTTATTCTTGTTCTAATGCATATGCCTTGTCATGCCCTGAAATCAGGCACGTAACAGTGCCACGCCTTGTTGACAAGGTGATACTATAACATGAGGACGCAATGTTTTAAAATCACGTTCTCGATACTACAACATGAGGGCGCGACGATATAAAATCACGTTTCCAATAGAACATCAGGCAATTAAGAGAATACAGAAAACTGTTTATTTTAAAACACTGCTGAAACGTAAATAAAATTGGTAGGCCGAAAATAAATTGAAAATTCGATTTTACTATATATATATATATAGTAAAACAGTTATCAACGTACTAACCCCCAGGTTTTATGAAAATACATATATATCATGATAAACATAGGTTTTCCAAAACCTAGCATATCGTGCATTGTCTCAAATCATAACTTGTATATATATAATAATCACTAGTGAATGTCCAATATAACCCTCAGGCCCCATGCCAGCTCCCCGTCTCTGAGCAGACAGTCAGAGGAAAATAACCCTCAGGCCCCATGCTGGCTCCCCGTCCCTGTGCTAGATAGCCAGAGGAAACACACTCCAGGCCCTATGCCAACACCAAACCGTTGCCCGGGACGGACCCGAATCTATCCCTACGTCCCGTAGCGGAAATGACCACTAGGTAAGTACAAAACCATTGAACATATATATTGAAAAGCAACTTCATAGTATAAAGTCATCCGTCATCTCTACTATAAAGAGGTGTTCGAAACATGTTCTAAATATCATATCGTCATCCATCAGATATTCTATAAGAACACGTGTTATAGGAAAAATAGTAATAATTCAAATTAGCCTCAGTAAGCATGTTATCTCGCAAAACGTTTCATAAAACGTAATTATTAAATCATGTTTTTCATATATGCATTTCTACTATCAAAACATGCATTTTAGAAGGTTTCCACTCACAGTACTTAGCCGCCGAAAAACCATGCTACTGGCGAAGAAGGAAACACCACAATTAATTGCCCCTAAGCACATACATGGTACATTTAGTCAAACTCTACTCAAACAACTTAATTTGGGAAAACAAACATCGGAAACGGGTTCAGAACATTGAAATTAGCCTATGAGAGGTCTCGAACGAAAACCCTAAAAGTCAAAGTTGATAGTTGACCATCAAAGTCAAAGTAAACGTTGACCGGTCAAAGTCAAAGTCAACGGTCAGACCTAGTCAAAGTCAACGGGTCATGGGTTCGGGTTGGACCAGGTCAATCGAGTCACGGGCCTAGGTTAAATGGTTTTGGGCCGGACCGAGTTGGGCTTGGGTTTAAAAGGGAAATGGGTTTAGATAATTAGGTGGGTTGGGTTAGGGTTTAAGCTACAAGAGCCCAAAGGCCCAATCTCCTCACGGTCCGAAGGCCTGCCACAAAGGTTAAAGGGTTTAGGGGTTTAGCGGGCCAAGGCCTTAAGTGAAACGGCCCGAAGGCCTTTAGGTCTTTAAGGAATTAAAACAAAAATAAAAATGGAACAGGATAGGGTATTGGGTTGAAACAAAACGGGCTTAAGGCCCGTGGGTTGAGGAACGGCCTGAAGGGCCAGTCTCGACGGAAGAAGGCACCAGAGCTTCTACAGCACCGGCCGACTGCAAATGGAAACCCTAGACTCCGATCTAGGTATCAAAATGAAGCACAAGGTGAGAGAAGTGTGATTATACCTTTGGTTTGCCGTAGAACGGTCAGAGGTGATCGGAAATATCCTCGACACCCACGGTTTTGCCAGAGTTGAGTGTGCTTTCCACCAAGCCGATCTCGTTCCAAAACCTTGGAAATCACGAGTATAACACTTAATAAATCACACCCAAGCTTCAACTAGAACGAAAGGAGATAAACCCAAAGCTTACCTAACCGGAGAAAATGAAGAGAGAGAAAGATGAGGTTTTGATGGTGATGCCGTCAACGGAACGAAGGTGTGAGTGCAAGTGTACTTGGGTGATCACGAGAAAGAGTGTGAGAATGATGAGAGGGTTTCGAGAGAGAAGAGAGTGTGCAGAGAGAGAGTGAAGAAAGTGAGAGCTGAGAGAGGTCTCGGGGTGAGGGAAAGGAAAGGGAGTGATGGGTGCTGCCACATGGCAGTTTGATGGAGTTTGAGAATCAAGATAGAGGGTCCATATTTGGTTAAGAAAGAGGACTAAATACATAATTTCATTAAACTTTTGGGGAAAACACGTAATTATACATATAATTTGGGGTTGGGTGTAACAAACTATCCACTACGCGAATCTCGAAATTCAAACTCATATAACAATGATAAATAAAGTGATGAGCATACACCATAGTTATAGTAGTGAGCAACAATGCACTCATTTTTATTAAAGCAAATTCACTTTGTTGCCACTCATCCTAGTCCACGTGTTTTACACCGTCAATTCCCATATTGTCTATTATAAATTCATTTGTTCTCCCAAAAATGTTCCAGAAAATGCTACAAACTCATAATGACATCCACCATCTTCTTCTGAACACCTTTTTGGACAAAACAATATGAATATATTTTCTAAAAATTTCCTTCTTCCTTGATAATAAATTCTTCTTTGGATCTCACATCCAAGGCTCCAACTGAGTGTGACAAAGTTTTATATGAAAATGGCTTGAGCTAACTAGTGTCATTAATTCATGATTGGAATAAATCAGTAAATAGCTTCACAATGATAACAACACACACACAAAAAGCAATAATTAAACAAAAAGCCTTATTAATATTGGATTATGGATGTAGCTTTTTGGAAAGTGATAGTGTTCAAATATAACTCCTTTGAATTAATCATGTACAATGTTTACAACCTAAATAGGGTTTGAGAAAACTCATGTGGTAGGAATCTTAATTTAATTACAATTGATATATATTTTTTTAATCACAGAAAAGATTCTGTATTAATTACTTCTATTCTTATAGAGAGACTAATTATCTAGGGTTTTGTGTTTGCATGTTATGGATTTAGGTACTTGGAGCTTTTTGGTACCTTTTTTCTATTCAACGAGAGGTATTTTCTATTCAACGAGAGGTATCATGTTGGCATGAGACATGTGTAAATCCTAGTATAGATCCCAAGGGATGTACGGATGCTTACTGCGATAGTCGGAGTACTACTGCAAGAAATATAACACTTCTAAATGAGCATTGCCCGTTGGATACTTCAGATGGTGCTTTATCTTCATTTAACTTTGGAATATTCCTTGATTCACTTAAGAATCAAAACACAGAGCAGAAAAAGTTTATAGAGAAGTTCCTTTACTCTTTCTGGTGGGGCCTGCGAAATCTAAGGTTCACAGTATATCCATTGACGATCAACAATTTCTGGAGAATATGTAACAAATACATTTTTTTGGGGTTATCTAATTCTGCAACATTGTCTAATATGTACCTACAATATTTTGCAGTAATTTTGGGACGAATCTGACAACAAGTACGTATGTCTGGGAAAACTTATTTGCAATTCTTATTTCTTTCATTGGCTTGCTACTGTTTTTATATCTCATCGGCAATGTACAGGTTGGTATATACTGAATCTCACAGTTTTATTTTTCAATCGTTTTTCTTTAGGTCCCGTGTCTTATTCAAATATTTGTGAAATGGTGGGTAAATTCAAAATCCAATTTTGTGAGGTATTATTAAGAATAGTACACTTTTTAAATATAGGTACTATTATCTTTTTATTAAATTTTCGATAAAACAGAAAATTTTAAAGAATTGTAATATCGAAATCGTAAGAATTAAATCCTTTAAATCATGCTGCATTCAATATTTTTTACATATTTAATATATCTACATCATAGATTTTTTTTGTCGATAATCTACCTATATCATAGATAAACTGTGTTTAGCTACCTATACTATAGATATTTTTTGCTTGTGATCTACCTCTTCAAAATTAGTTGTATTAGATTCTATCTTAAATATGTTTCGCTTAAACTTTTGTGTAGTCTTGTTATGATATAGATATGTTACAATTGGACTCAAATTAAAAAAGGAGCTTCGATTTTTGGACCTGAACTTAAATGTGCCATTTCAAATTATATAAGATACGTAAGTTCTTTGGTGAAACATACCTTTCTAGTATGTAGCTAGCTAGGACATAGGAGATCATGGATCGAGCTTATTAATGAATTCTACTTGTGGTGAGGCAGACTTTAATACAGATGGAGGCTACAAAATCGGAAGAGACAAGACGAAAGATTCGGATAAAGAAAGTAGATGTACGCACGTGGATATCCGTATATAAATTCCCTGATAATATCAAGAAAGAAATCGAGAATAGCATAGAGCAAGCATGGGTAAAAGACAAATATGCTGATGTCCACAACCCATTCATTATTCTTCCTAATAAGACCAAAGACTCTGTAAAACGCCATCTTTTCATGGATACACTTAGAACAGTATGTTCTTCAAGAATCGATCTCTCTCCATTTATTAATTGCTTCCATTTTTACTGCAATGTTGTTCTGATGATATATGTCTGTGTGTGCGCGCACGTGCATAGGTAAAAGTGCTTAAATACATGGATGAATATGTGTTGACGTTGCTGTGCAACTATCTAAAGCCAATGACGTACAATGAGAACAGCTTTGTTTTTCGAACTGGAGATCCACTCGATTGCATGGTGTTCATTATCGAAGGGACAATGTGGACCTACGCGGCGAGTGATAGTCAAGTTGGGCAAGGAATCTCATCAACGGCCATCAATCGCCTCGGGAAATGTCACTTTTACGGGGAAGAGCTTCTCGATCGGGCATCAGACTGGTTCACCGAACTTCCAGTCTCCAGCAAACATGTCAAAAGTCTGACAAAAGTAGAAGCATTTGTGCTCATGGCCAAGGACTTGGAAGCTGTAATCTCCAGATGCCCACTACAGTGGGAGAACGGCGAGAAGAAGGGTTCTCAAAAGGTGAAGGGCATGGCAGCTTCTACCATAGCAACAGCATTCCGTCGTCATAGAGAGCAATCGAAACCTTATAAGTAGAGTGCTTGATGTTAGATATGTTTTGAGATCAATAAGAAGACCTTAGCACCAGTGGTTTATTGTGGTTTATAAACTTAGGCGGCTTCTACTTCACACGATGAAATAGTCTTTAACCCCATGTTATAGAGAGATTTTTCAATATGATTAGTACACGAGATGGTACATCATGTGTCATTATAAAAATGATAGGATATGTGTGCTAAAAGGTTAATAACACAAGAAAATATGAAAGTTCAAAGGAAGATACATAAATTTGTAAAATAAAGTGCATGATCTCTTCTTAAATTAGAAAACCAAGGCATCCCAATTGTGGGAGGATAAAACCTAATTTCGACTCATGGGCCGATCATCTAAGGAAAAAGAGTTGTGCAAAATAAAAAGCCCACAAGAAATAAGCACAAGGGTGCGTGCCGAGGTAACTACCCCACTACGGAAGAGAAGTGGGAGAGGAAGACAGGTCATGGGACTTGTTCCCAAAGCATGTAGTGATATGACGATGACCACTAAGGAAGTGGGGAAGGAAGACGATCGCGGTACTTGAATCTCAAGTACAAAATCCTATAAATAGGGAGAGAAGCAAAAGAACCAGGTATGTGAGGAGTACCCGAGAAAATCCAAAGAATAGAAATCAATTAGCTGACTTGAGCGTCGGAGTATCTTTTGCAGGTACTCGCGCCAGACTGCGGAGGAAGATTATTTTGGGACATCTCGAAGAAGGATTCGGCGAACGTGAGGATTGCGGTCAACAAATCTGTGGAGGTATTTCTTCTTGTAGGAAATTTCACTCTAACAGTTGGCGCCGTCTGTGGGAACGCAACAAAATCAAGCTATAAACATGACTGGATCCACACAAGAAGTTCCAAATCCTTCTGAAGATACAAGGACTCGATCGGTACACGCAAGGTCTCAATCCCAAAATATTGAACCTTGTCTCGCCATGGAACAATTTAGAAGGCTAACGAGGGAATTGCGTGAAACAAAAAAGACAGCAGAGGAGGCGTTGAAGAAGGCTGAAGCGAAAAAGGCAGTAGAAGGTGCAACCGGCACCAAGAGACAACGTGCAGAAGAGGAAGATAAGGGGGGCAGCTCTAGTAGCGCGCCATACAGTAACCGTGTTGAAGTGACGAAAAATCAGGGCGAAGAGGATCACAGGGGAAAAGGATCGAAAAAGGTAAAGGATGTTGATTTGCGAGAACAAATTGAGAAGATTGTGAAGGGATACAAGCCCCAGACCCTGGCAGAACTTGCCTTGGAAGCAGCCAGAGGGATTCGCAAATCGCCGTTCACAGAGAACATCCTGAAAGCTAAAAAACCTGCCAAGTTCACCCAACCAAAGTTTAGGCTATTCGAAGGTGCAACTGATCCCGTCGAACACATTTACCACTTTCAACAACAAATGGCGCTTGAAGGAGACGATGAGGCCCTAATGTGCAAGTTGTTCCCCTCAAGTCTTTCGGGGTCATCGTTAACTTGGTTCAGGCAACTGAAACTGAGGTCTATTGGAAGTTTCACAGAGCTTTGCGAAGCATTCATATCCCAATATGTCTGCAATCAGAGGCCAAGAAAAGATATTACGATCTTGTTCAACACCAAACAAAATGTTGGTGAGAGCCTCAAAAGCTACATGACTAGGTTCACCGAAGAGATGTCCACCCTAGCAGAATGTGATTCCCACACTGCGTCTTTGGCATTCCGAGAAGGGGCGTTGCCTGGAACAAAGATGCGTAGGTCATTGATCGAAACGCCACCACTGGACATGAGGGAGGTGATGGCCCGAGCTGATGGAATCATCAGATTAGAGGAAGAGGAATTTATCCAATCAAAGCAGGCCACCGCGACTATTGTTACATCTCCAGCGGGCACTACCACGAAAGATTTGAGTGGGTATTGAGAAAAGTCATGGAAAACAAAAAAGATTTGAATGTAGGGAAACTTGGACGCATATGGGAATGACCATATGAGGTGACTGAAGCTTTCGGAAATGGAGCTTATAAACTCAGGCACGTAGAAACAGGTCAGTATGTGCCGCACCTATGAAGGGCAATTCATTTGAGAAAGTACCACATTTAGCTTCTCGTGTTTATGTTTTCCGTATTTAAATTTCTGTTTCTAGCAATGTTGAAGGGTAAATCCCTTATTGTCTTCCTTGCATGTCAAAGGGGATGTCCCTGGATGTCTGTTGACATCTCTTCATTGTATGATAAATAAAGTTGCACTTTATTCGAATCTTAGACTAAAGTCTAAAGCTGAAGAGTATAAACCAAGGGATGATGATCGAATCAAGATCGGATGGGCAGAGACCCAATCAAGATCGGAAATCTAAGATCATGTGGGGAAAGAAAACCCAAGATCGGATGGGCAGAGACCCAATCAAGATCGAAATTCTAAGATCGAGTGGGAAAAGAAAACCCAAGATCGGATGGGCAGAGACCCAATCAAGATCGGAAATCTAAGATCGTGTGGGGAAAGAAAACCCAAGATCGGATGGGCAGAGACCCAATCAAGATCGGAAATCTAAGATCGAGTGGGAAAAGAAAACCCAAGATCGAATGGGCAAAGACCCAATCAAGATCGAGAATCTAAGATCGAGCGGGAAAAGAAAACCCAAGATCGAATGGAAAAAGACCCAGTCAAGATCGAAAAGGCTTGGTGAAGAAACTGAGCAGGTGAAGTGAAGGAAAATAGGGATGGAGGAACTCAAGGTAATGACATATAAATATATACGCATACATGTGTAGAGATATATGCAAGTATATGAGAAGTAAGTGCAGAGATTTGCATGTCGTACGCAAAGGTATGCCTGTGTTGTGTGTAAAAATATGCCTATATATGCCAATGTACCCAGATATTTGTGCATATATATATATATATATATATATATATATATATATATATATATACATATATGTGTGTGTGTATAGGTAGTCTGGTTAAGGAAGTGATGTCTGCAAGTCCAGGAAAATATATATGTAGATAGATAGACAGGTAGCCCAAGGATGTGATTTATGCAGGAATATACATAGACATATAAGAGAGGGAAAAACAAGTGTGTCAGTGTATATATAATATATATATATATATATATATATATATATATATATATATATTGATATATTGATATATGTATACATAGGCGTGCATATTAGATGTGCAGACTAGGTGTGCAGCCTAGCATTATGGATTATATGCGTGAGGAGGAAACACACATGGTAAATATTTATATATGTAAATATATATATATATATATATATATGTGTGTGTGTGTGTATGTAAATCAGATAAAAGTGAATGAAGGAGTGCAGACAAGATGGGATAGAGATCTATATAATAAACACGTACAAGGCGTCAGTCCTCTTTCGTTATGTCAGTCCTCTTTCGTAATGTTCGTAAATCCTCTTTCGTAACGATAGGACCTCTTCCGTGATGTCAGTCCTCTTTCGTAATGTTCATAAATCCTCTTTCGTAATGATGGACCTCTTCCGTGACGTCAATCCTCTTTCGTAATGTTCGTAAATCCTCTTTCGTAATGATAGACCTCTTCCGTGACGTCAGTTCTCGTTCGCCATGTCAGTCATCTTTCGTAATGTTCATAAATCCTCTTTCGTAATGATGGACCTCTTCCGTGACGTCAGTCCTCTTTCGTAATGTTCGTAAATCTTCTTTCGTAATGTTAGACCTCTTTCGTGATGTCAGTCCTCATGTGAGTTCGTAATGTTCATTCGTAAATCCTCTTTCGTAATGTTCGTTCTTCGAAAATTTATTTTTAGAAAAAGCAACTCCCACAAGGTTGGCAATGCTTAAAGTTTTAGTTTGGCTTAGAGAGTACAGTTTCAAGGCCTTATGAGATCGAAAAACTTGGTTTTTCCCTATTTTACATGCGTAAAAAAGGGAAAAAATGGGGCATTGTGGGAGGATAAAACCTAATTTCGACTCATGGGCCGATCATCTAAGGAAAAAGAGTTGTGCAAAATAAAAAGCCCACAAGAAATAAGCACAAGGGTGCGTGCGAGGTACTACCCACTACGAGAGAAGTGGGAGAAAGACAGGTCATGGGACTTCCAAAGCATGTAGTTATGACGATGACCACTAAGAAGTGGAAGGAAGAATCGTTACTTATCTAGTACAAAATCCTAGAGAAAAAAAGGTTGAGGAGTCTGGCAAGGATCGTGTCAGTCGTGTTCGTGTCGTTTTCGTGTAACACCTGTTATCTTAACGGGTCGTGTCGTGTCACACCCGTTATCTTAACGGGTCCTTAACAGGTCGTGTCACTTTACCCAACGGGTAAAGTGACCCGACCCGTTATGACCCGTTAAGAAAAATATATTTTTTTTCTTAAATTTGCACATACCACACATTGCCACATAAATATTACTTCAAAACATTAAAACACATTTGTCGTTTAAGTACTACATCTACACTCGAAAATAAGAGCCTAATAAAAAAATAATACATACACTACTAATCTATTACAAATTTTAAATGTGCAAGGATATGCAAAATGAAACAGTTTTTGTTTTCAAGGTTGTGAAATCTTTCTCAAAAGTTTAAACCTCAATTTACAAAATCCTCGATTTACATCGATCATCATGAAATTGCATTGGAACTTTGGCTTGATCTATTGCCTTCAAGAGTTATGTTGATGATGTTTTCAGTAAGGTTTTCCACGTCATAACTATCTTCTGCATAAACTAAGCATAGAAAAACCAAACATTAAAAATCATTCAAATTATGAGAAGTTTACCAAAATAATTATGAAAAAAAATAAAACAATAGTACTATACCATACTTTTATTAAGTATAAACATAAGATTTTGTGGTATCCACTAGTGTAAATATTTTAAATTGAAGATCGAATTCAATCATTGTATTCATATAAGGTCAAGGAGTGTAGTTGTAAAAAAATCATCAAAATCGGAGTTAAATTAACCGTTAAATCGTGATTTTTCGTTTATAACCGTCGAAAAGTTTTGTCCCGTTACGTGCTCTCTGAATGTTTGTTTTTTGCAATTTTTGGCGTATGCGATCTCGAAATATATACAAACATGTTTGACGGTTGGATCATTGAAACTAGTTTCGTAGAATGAGTATCCCATCAAAACAATAGATTCACTAATACTTAAGAGTTTATTCATACTTTTATTAAGTATAACATAAGATTTTGTGGTTTCCACTAGTGTAAATATTTTAAATTGAAGATCGAATTCAATCATTGTATTCATATAGGGTCAAGGAGTGTAGTTGTAAAAAATCATCATCAAAATCGGAGTTAAAATGACCGTTAAATCGTGATTTTTTCGTTTATAACCGTCGAAAAGTTTTGTCCCGTTACTTGATCTCTGAATGTTTGTTTTTTGCAATTTTTGGCGTATGCAATCTCGAAGTATATATAAACATGTTTGACGGTTGGATCATTGAAACTAGTTTCGTAGAATGAGTATCCCATCAAAACAATAGATTCACTAATACTTAATAGTTTATTCATACTTTTATTAAGTATAATATAAGATTTTGTGGTATCCACTAGTGTAAATATTTTAAATTGAAGATCGAATTCAATCATTGTATTCATATAGGGTCAAGGAGTGTGGTTGTAAAAAAATCATCAAAATCGGAGTTAAAATGACCGTTAAATCGTGATTTTTTCGTTTATAACCGTCGAAAAGTTTTGTCCCGTTACTTGATCTCTGAATGTTTGTTTTTTGTAATTTTTTGACGTATGCGATCTCGAAGTATATACAAACATGTTTGACGGTTGGATCTTTGAAACTAGTTTCGTAGAATGAGTATCCCATCAAAACAATAGATTCACTAATACTTAATAGTTTATTCATACTTTTATTAAGTATAACATAAGATTTTGTGGTATCCACTAGTGTAAATATTTTTAAATTGAAGATCGAATTCAATCATTGTATTCATATAAGGTCAAGGAGTGTAGTTGTAAAAAATCATCAAAATCGGAGTTAAAATTGACCGTTAAATCGTGATTTTTCGTTTTATAACCGTCGAAAAGTTTTGTCCCGTTACTTGATCTCTGAATGTTTGTTTTTTTGCAATTTTTGGCGTATGCGATCTCGAAGTATATACAAACATGTTTGACGGTTGGATCATTGAAACTAGTTTCGTAGAATGAGTATCCCATCAAAACAATAGATTCACTAATACTTAATAGTTTATTCATACTTTTATTAAGTATAACATAAGATTTTGTGGTATCCACTAGTGTAAATATTTTAAATTGAAGATCGAATTCAATCATTGTATTCATATAAGGGTCAAGGAGTGTAGTTGTAAAAAAATCATCAAAATCGGAGTTAAAAATGACCGTTAAATCGTGATTTTTCGTTTATAACCGTCGAAAAGTTTTGTCCCGTTACTTGATCTCTGAATGTTGTTTTTTTTTTGCAATTTTTGGCGTATGCGATCTCGAAAGTATATATAAAACATGTTTGACGGTTGGATCATTGAAACTAGTTTCGTAGAATGAGTATCCCATCAAAACAATAGATTCACTAATACTTAATAGTTTATTCATACTTTTATTAAGTATAATATAAGATTTTGTGGTATCCACTAGTGTAAATATTTTAAATTGAAGATCGAATTCAATCATTGTATTCATATAAGGGTCAAGGAGTGTAGCTGCAAAAAATCATCAAAATCAGAGTTAAAATGACCGTTAAATCGTGATTTTTCTTTTTATAACCGTCGAAAAGTTTTGTCCCGTTAATTGATCTCTGAATGTTTGTTTTTTGTAATTTTTTGACGTATGCGATCTCGAAGTATATACAAACATGTTTGACGGTTGGATCTTTGAAACTAGTTTCGTAGAATGAGTATCCCATCAAAACAATAGATTCACTAATACTTAATAGTTTATTCATACTTTTATTAAGTATAACATAAGATTTTGTGGTATCCACTAGTGTAAATATTTTAAATTGAAGATCGAATTCAATTACTTGTATTCATATAGGGTCAAGGAGTGTAGTTGTAAAAAATCATCAAAATCGGAGTTAAAATAACCGTTAAATCGTGATTTTTCGTTTATAACCGTCGAAAACTTTTGTCCCGTTACTTGATCTCTGAATGTTTTTTTTTTGCAATTTTTGGCGTATGCGATCTCGAAGTATATACAAACATGTTTGACGGTTGGATCATTGAAACTAGTTTTGTAGAATGAGTATCCCATCAAAACAATAGATTCACTAATACTTAAGAGTTTATTCATACTTTTATTAAGTATAACATAAGATTTTGTGGTATCCACTAGTGTAAATATTTTAAATTGAAGATCGAATTCAATCATTGTATTCATATAGGGTCAAGGAGTGTGGTTGTAAAAAATCATCAAAATCGGAGTTAAAATGACCGTTAAATCGTGATTTTTCGTTTATAACCGTCGAAAAGTTTTGTCCCGTTACTTGCTCTCTGAATGTTTGTTTTTTGCAATTTTTGGCGTATGCGATCTCGAAGTATATACAAACATGTTTGACGGTTGGATCGTTGAAATTAGTTTCGTATAATTCGTATCCCATGAAGTTCAATGGTGTGTGTGTGTGTATATATATATTTATTTATTAAGTAGATTTAAATCTATTTATTTTGTATGTATAATTATTATAGTTTTTAGGGGTATAAAATTTAATATATATATATATATATATAAAATTATTATAGTTAATTTTTTGGGTATAATTATTATAGTATATATAATTATTATAATTATTATAGTTAATTTAATATATATATATATATATATATAATTATTATAGTTTTTAGGGGTATAAAATTGTTAAATTAATATATATATAATTATTATAGTATTTTTTTAGGGTTATAAATTATTAAATTAATATTCTGCTTATCGTGTATCGTGTTACCCACGTGTATACCCGAACAAACCCGTTATCTTAACAGGTGCTTATCGGGTTACCCGATAACGACCCGTTTCGTTATCGTGTCGACCCGAACACTTGTTAATTTCGTGTCGTATCGTGTCGTGTCGGGTTATCGGGTCGTGTCAGGAATTGCCAGGCTTAGGAGTACCCGAGAAAATCCAAAGAATAGAAATCAATCAGCTGACTTGAGCGTCGGAGTATCTTTTGCAGGTACTCGCGCCAGACTGCGGAGGAAGATTATTTTGGGACATCTCGAAGAAGGATTCGGCGAACGTGAGGATTGCGGTCAACAAATCTGTGGAGGTATTTCTTCTTGTAGGAAATTTCACTCTAACACCAATCCTCCATCTCTTCTTAAGGTCATACACAAGTGGAGACGGTTGCAAGGGGGTGCATATGTTATGGCCCAGCATTTTGGCCTTCGCTTTTGAAAAGCTAATGAGGTGTCAATAGCATCTCTAAAAGAAGATATCAAAGATAAAAACTTGCACGGAAGTTTTATGGTGACACAAAGTGAAGAAAGTCGAGGTTGTCAGAATTGGGTGACATGGAGCACGTGTCATGTGGCCATTGGGCTTCACACGTGAGCCAACCTACTTTGATACTGTGAACAAGTTGAGGTTCCATCATAAAATCAATTGGCAACTATGAGGAGTAGCCCAACCTGCCATTGCAAGGTTTCTCATTTTACCGATGTGAAACTCTTGTACCTTCACATTTTCACAACTACTATATTGTGTTACTAAACAATGTGCTATAACTTGAGTGAATTGGTAAAAAAAAAAACGAGATAATGTGATGGTACCAGCGAAAATTACTCGGCATCATTGTATATTTTCACTGACTGCGCCTCTAATCAGTGTGGACCAGAAAGTCTCTGGCTGCTGCTGTTAAAAAACTTGGGTAGAATAAAACAAGGACTCGGCTTCTACGCAATCACTGATCAATTGATCTCACACTCACAGTGATGAAAATGCAAAAAAGTCCTCGCGTTTTCATCACCGTGAGATTGATCGCTTCACTGATGCTCAATTCTAAAAAGGGCAGTATATCTCAGTGATGAACTTACAGAAGGGTGCATCACGGTGACCTTATTAAAAAACAAACTGATGAGATCGATCAAACAATGAATAACACAATCTGTACAATCAGTTTATAGAAACAGAAGAAGCGTCACCACCATGCATTAAGGTAACCAATCTTTAGCTTTTGAAAAGAAGTGAGGATCACTTTGAGTGGGGGTGCATATAGAGGGCCACCATCTTTAGCTTTTGAAAAGAAGTATTCATTACTTTACTTACCTAGGAAGAAATTTACGGTTTCATCGTACCTGCAGATTCGAAGCTCCGAAATTATGTATAGCATTATGAGTTTAACCTCCAGCTAATCAGGTGTTAATAGAATATAATCTCCAAAGGATACATAAAAGGCAACCTAATGAGTTTGATCAATTTTGTTTAATTTGGGTACATAGGCCTCTAATTAGTCTTTTATAAGAGAGAGTGATGCATTTGATAACTAACTGTGACTACAACTGATACGGTCTACTGGATTGCAAAAAATACGATCAGAGAAGAAAGGGAAGAAACCTGCATTACAAAGTTAATGACGAACAAATGTTCATTAAATCTGTAGAATATTAAGAAAGTTCAACCTCCTCTAGAATTTAAACAAATGAGTAACATCCCTAAAGCTTAAACAAGATCTGACTTCTCCAAGGAATTAGTTGATCAATTGTTGTCCATTCCTAATTAACGGTATTAAAACGAAACTAGTATATTCAAACTTGCACACACACTCGCAAATTCAACTCAACAACTAGTATTCAAATTCAACTCCTCGGTAATATTCTCATGGTGACTCCAAGATTGGTAAATAAAGAAACGATTGAATCGCTAAGGGGGGAGATCAGTTGTAAATCATCGGTGGTCAGAAGCTTGGCTGACTCCGTTACAAAGGCGCTCGCAACATCCACGTGAAATGTAATCTCGCGACGCATGGAATTCGTGGACACTGGACAAGTGATACCTGGGTAATGACTGAAGAACTTTCTTGTGGCCGTGTTCAGTGTTGGCTTGGCATTGTGATCAATTTGCAATACAAGGTTCTTGCAATGAGATTCAGCTGCGTTGTGGGGAAGCAACAACATTTCTCTACATGCATCTGACCGCAACTCACGTACTTCAATTTCCTTCACACTTGAATACAAATTGTTCATGCATCCTATGAGCAACCAATATTTTTATCAAAAGATTCGAATTACTACCGCTATGTGTTATGAAATACGTAAAGTACGAAGAAAATAACAACAGTAACAACAATCAAATCTTATCTTATTATATAAAAAAGTTTTATAAGTTTTAAAATTTCATTACGTTCGCTAAAATAAAAAGAGTAGGCCGGCATAAACTATAGTGCGACAGCACAAATTCCAAATTATTTTAGAACAAAAATTAAAGCTAGAATTCTCAGTGCCTTTTTGGGTAAAGTCGCCAAAGTAAGGACGAGACTTTCCGTTACCCAAAGACTCAAAACCAAACAAGCGTCTCTCTCTCTTCACTCTATAAAACAACCAAACCGAGACTCTCCGTTGCCCAATAGCAAAAGTGAGCGAGCCTCTGATCGTAAGCTTCCTGTCTATGTAAGTGGGTTTCTTCAATTTTAACTTTTAGATTTGAGGTTCAAGATCCTAATTCGATTTAAACTTGCATGCTGAAGACTTGGTTCGTGGTTGTGTTTGGCAGATTGAGTTCGAGCTGGGCTGTAAGAAAGTGGTTCAAATTGTTGGATTTGGGTAAGAACCCTATAAACCTGAACCGTAATTGTAGCCATCTTTCGATTTCTAAGTGCTGGGCTTGATTTCTGTGTGTTTTTTTTTATGTGAATTATTTGAAGGTTGGAAAGTTTCGAACTTTTTCGCTGGAATTTAAGTGGGTAAAAGTGTATGAGGAATTGGTTAGAAGAGATTGTAAGTGTATCAGATATGGGTTTTTTAAACCGCATCATATTCGAATTTGTGTTTCTTTTTTGGATTTGAGTTTATATATTTTCAGATCTGAGTTATTATTTATATATTTTCATGATCCCGAGTTTTATTTTTTATTTTTTATTAATATTTAACTAATAGGGCACGATTACAAAAATTGTTGGAAAAGTCATCTGACAAGGTTGAACAGTATTTTATATTGTTAACACGAAAATTATGTTAAAAACGTGAGTTAGCGGAGAGTCCGCAGCATTTCTCTTGTGCTTAACTCTTTTGAGTACAAAACGCCATATTGTGCCCCTATGAACAATGTGCATGAATGCACAGGACCCAAATAATATTTTAGTTGCTGCAGTGTTGCTATATAGGACAAATATATTGGTGTCCTTATCCTCGTACGGCACCTTTAACTTTTCGTTTGCAGTGCCCATATTTTGTAGTGGCACCGAATAATGAGCTCTGTAGAAAACTTCCAAATTTCTTATTCATGATGACGGTAGTATGAGTTTTCTTCTTTTAGTATTTATCTCATTGAATTCATATATAAGTTAGGCTTCATTTCTTTTTAGCGTATAAGCTCTTGTCCCTGCAAAGTGGTAGTCTCAAATCATTCAATCCAAAATAATCTTGCGAGGTGGGAGTTCAGAGGTTAGTGATGTGAACTATTTTGATCTGCAAGTGTGCTTGATTTGTTGTTTTTCGTTACAACCGTACAAGAGTTAGAGAGTTAAGCGGAAATAAAACATAAACATAAGAGACCGTTTCCCCCAAGATTGGTTGATTAGTCGTCTTGACTTGAAGCAGGTTCAAAAGATCAACCGTATTTTTTCACTATCATTTTTTATGCATTAGCATAACAGGGGATTGAGCAAAAACGAGTGGATGGTTAGAAACACGAACATATGTAAAGAATTTGTAAATCCAACGTGATAAAATGTCTAATCTTGATCATATATATCATGGTTTGCTGAAAATTTCTTTGGAGGATTGATTCCTTTTTTATTTATTTTTTAGTATAATTCTATTTGACTCACTTGCATTTTCTTGTGGTAGTTGGTTATTATTTGAATCTCTATTTCCTGAGCAGGGATTTAATCCTAATTCACAAGTATTCATTTCTTGTTCAAAAAAAAAAAAGAAGGTAATTCTGTCATTTACTGTTGGATTTGAATAGAGGAATGATACTTATTCCATTTCATTATTATTCCTTGCAGTCCATGGAAGAAATATCTGAAAACCAAATTAGCTTGAAGGTGTTGGTGAACAATTTGACCAACAAAGTCATTTTCGCTGAGTGTGATAATGATTTCATTGATGTTCTCTTCAGTTTCTTGACAATTCCTATGGGAACAATTGTTAGGCTTTCCCATCATTCGCAATCCTTTGGAATTGGTTGCATTGACAACTTATTTGGAAGTGTTGAGAGTCTTGATTTACAGCTTTTTCGATCTAAAGAATGTTGAGACATGTTGTTACACCCTCGCAATGAAGCTGAGGATCTTTTGAGGAACCTGAAATTGAAATATGATCAATGTGAGCCCCCGCGGTACTTTAAGTGTTCTAATCGATATTGCCGCAGTTCTGCACAAAGGTTTAGTTATTACCAAAATGTTCATTGTTGTTGTGGGGGTCTGATGAACATGGAGACCATTTTTACAACGGAACAAGCTGAAGGTGGTGGGGTTTTTGTGGAAGGACCAGCGAGATTTATTATTAGTGATGATTTACAGGTACTGCCTCCATTTACTTGTGCAGTATCTTCTGTAGTTTCGAACCATGGACTCACAGGCTGGAAAAGCGTTGAGGAGCTGACTTTTAATGTGGGAGTTGATGAGGTAAATGATGATGTCTTAACATGCAATGCCAAGTTAAAATTTTCAACTTGAACTAAAACTCCAGTTTCTGATCTTCATTTTTTGTTTATTTTTTGTTTTCCAGGTTTTGAATTTGCTTATGCGCTCATTAGTATCAGAGACACCTCTGACTGAAACTCTGCTGAAGGATAAAACCATACCAAACATGGTTGACGAAAACCTTGACCAAGATTTATGCATTGAATATCGAGAGGTGGGAGGAAAAAGGAATGAGGAAGAAGAAAAGATTTCTATCAAACTTATAGTTAGCAAATCTAAGAAGAAGGTTTATTATGCCGAAGTGGGGGAGGATTTTGTTAATTTACTCTTCAGTTTCTTGACTCTTCCACTAGGGTTTGTAGTAAAACAAATGCAACATAACTCTTTGAAAGGTTGCATTGACCAGCTGTACAGAAGTGTCGAAGATCTTGATGAGCAGTACTTCAAGTCATATTTACACAAGACAAAGTTGGTGAGTCCGAAGCTTCTCCCTGGATTTGGCTACAAGAATCATCTTCTGGGAATTGAGGAAGCATCGTATAAATGGAAAGACTTTGTAAACTCCAAATCCCATCATAAAATTGATGATAAAGGTTGTGGATTCTTGAAAGGACCGGCAATGTTCATGGTAACTGACAGTCTCAATGTAAGTCCGATATCTGCAATTGTCGGCATGTCAATTCTATGCGAATTGAACGTACCTGTGACTGATGTTGAGGTACGAGTGGCTCATGTGGGGAAAGAGGAGGTGAGTCATACCATAAACTCTTCTAATCAAAACACTGGTCTTGTGAAAGTGATTCTTTATTTGAGTCTATACATCTTGTTCCAAGGTTGATGCTTTAGACATGTTTCTCATTGCAGGCTATCCGTCTTTGGTGGCTTCTTTTGTTTGTCCCTCTGCTCTAACTAGTGTCTTCCTTACGAAGCCAAAGCGATTTGGAGATTTACTAGGGTGCCTAAGTTTTCTAATTTAAGAAGAGTATGCATTTTCTGTCACAAATCTATGTACCTTTTTTCGTGCACTATCATCGTTTTGTGTTATATGACCTATAATTTGTGCTGCTTCTAGCATAACTATTTAAGGGATGCATCTTGCTATTTTAATATTCTTGTTTTGTTTTTCTCTTCGTGTTTTGCTTTCGTTGTGAAGCTAGTTACTGATTTCAGACAATTAGGAATCCCGAACACGCTAGTTTTTTTAAGCCCTTTAAGGAAGAAATGAAAAAACTGTGATCGGAGGTCGGAGATGGATAACTCGAGAAGAAAAGAGTTGAATCATACGATGAGAGCCTCTAAGACGAGACTTTTGCAGTTTCAATTTCTTTTCCAGTAAAAAAACAAGTATGGTGGTAGCATCCGCTCTTCTTTGGTTTTCACTTTCTTCTTGCTCTAATGCATATGCCTTGTCATGCCCCGAAGTCAGGCACGTGACAGTGCCACTCCTTATTAAGAGAAGAAAGAAAGCTGTTTATTTTTAAACACTGCAGAAACGTAAATAAAGTTATTGGTAGCCCGAAAATACATCGAAAAATCGATTTTAATTTAACTGCACGTCAACTACGAAGTTATTTTAAATACTATTTTTGGTAAAGCAAATTCACTTTGTTGCCACTCGTCCTAGTTCATGGGTCTTACACCGTCAATTCTCTTGTCCGTTATAAATTTATTCGTGCTCTTAAAAATGTCCGAAAGATGCTATGAACACGTAATGACATCCACCATCTTCTTATGAACACCTATTTGGGTAAACACTACAAATGATAACAACACACAAAGCAATAATTAAATAAAAGAAACCCAAAATTAAGTCATAAGCATATAACACAAAATACATGAAAGTTCAAAGGAAGACGCATAAGTTCGTAAAAATAAAGTGCATGATCTCTTCTTAAATTAGAAAACCAAGGTATCCCAATTCTCCATCTCGCTTTGGCTTCGCAAGGAAGGCACTAGTTAGAGCAGCGTTGCAAACAAAAGAAGCCACCAAAAGACGGAACGCCTGCGATCAGAAACATGCCTAAAAGTTCAACATTTGAAAATTTTCCGAAACATGAGCAACTCGTACCTCAATGTTTCAGAAACATGCCTAAAAGTTTATTGTCTGAAAACTCACCTCTTCCGCGCTCACATGAGCAACTCGTACCTCAATGTCAGTGACTGGTACATCCAGTTCGCGTAGTATCGACATGCCAAGCATTGCAGATATCGGACTCACATTGAGATTGTCAGTTACCATGAACATCTCTAGTCCTTTCATGAATCCACAAGCTTTAATATCTTCATTGTCATGCGATTTGGGGTCTACGAAGTCAATCACTTTCGCGGGCACGCCAGATATATCTTCATACGAGGATTCCTCAATTCCCAAAGGATGATTCTGATAGCCATATTTAGGGGGAAGCTCCGGACTCAGGAACATTTTCTTGTGGAGATATGACTTCAAGTACTGCTCATCAAGATCGCGGACACCTCTGTAAAGGCGGTCATTGCTACCTTTCATAGAGTTATTTTGCATCTGTTTTACTATAAAACCTAGTGGTAGAGTCAAGAAACTGAAGATTAAGTTAACGAAATCCACCCCGGCTTCTGCATAACAAACCTTCGTCTTAGATTTGCTCACTATAAGCTTGATAGGAATCTTTTGTTCTTCCTTATACATTTTGTCTTCCACCTTTTGAGATTCAATGTGTTTTTCTTCGTCAAGATATTCGATGCTCACATTTGGGACGGTTTTATCCTTCAGGAGAGTATCGGACAGAGGTGTCTTTGATACTAATGAGCAAGGTATAAAATATCGATGATATCGGAAATATCGGTAGTCCAAAAACACGGAAATATCGATGGAAATATCGGGATATTATTGATATCGATAAAAATTGAATAAAAACGACGGAAATTGTAATAAAAACTTGGAAATTTTTATTGAAACTTTGCAGAATGTTTATTTAGTCAATTATCTATTAGTTTATCACAAAAAATTAGAAGGAAATGCATTGCATGATGGATTTAACTGATTTAAGTTGATTATATAGCGAGCTGTCAAACATTGTGAGTGTAGAAAATATGTAGTATTAATGAAAGAAGTTTAAACACGCCATAATCATTTATATATAATGAATTAGTACAATATTTTACACTTTATACATTGCATGGTAAGATACATGAGTGACTTAGTACCACATAGAGTTCCTATGAGGTTCAAAATTTTCACTATCTTCATCATCTCTATGTGTAAAGTAAGTGTATTGTGAAGAATAGTCATCAAATGATAAATCCCCAAAATAGTTTGCATGTAATTGTTAACATGCCACCCATATGGATCCGAGATTGGTTGACTTTGTCCATAAGCAAAATCATTTGAAGATTGAGTCTCGGATTCTTTCCATGAGTCGCTCGATTTCATCTCGACAGGAATGGGATATGAAGGGTAGGGAAATGGTTGGTTATGAGTATAACCATAGTTACTACTCCACCATTACTTTTTGTCTTGTCAATGTTTTTTTCAAACACACACACACGGTTTTGACAGTAAGAAACCACTCCACCATTACTTTTTGTCTTGTCAATGTCTTTTTCACACACACACACACATACCTTTTTCTCTCGGATAAGATAACACACACACGCAACACACTTTTTTCTCACACACACACACACACCTTTTTCTCACACACAGTTTCTCCACCCTCAGCCTCTCGATCCTTCTCCATCCTTCTCCCTCAGTCTCTCCTTGTTTCTTCCCCGGTTCTCCCCCAATCTCTTCTCTACAACTCACCTTCCCAGAGCAGACAAATACACACATACACCCCACCGTGACCTCCACCACAGTGGCGCACACTCCGACGAGCACCATCACCACCTGTGGACCGTTCCTCCTCCCTTTCTCACCTCCCGGCGGCGGCGAGCACCATCAAGCAAGGGGAGGCCTTGTTTAGGCTGTACAAGGTGGAGGATTCATCAAATCCGAGCGGGTTTTGGGATCCGGAGAAAGGGATTGCTCATTTTCAGGGTCTGAGCGTGGATTGCTCATTTTCGGCTGCCGTTGCGACGACGACGACAGATCCTCGGCGACATTATCGCGAATATCGCTAATATCGCGATATTATCTATATTAGCAATATTATCGCGATATTATTACGATAATTAAGTGTAAACGTGTGAAAATATCGCTATGTAAAAAAACGATATTTTCGGTGATATTTCGCCAATAATATCGATTTTTAAGACCTTGCTAATGAGCACATAAGCACGTTCAAAACCTGGAAGAGAAAAACAAAACAAAAGTGAAGGATCTGAAACCGGCATTCAGTTCAAAAATTTAACTTGGCATAACATGTCAAGATATGATTTACCTCATCGACTCCTACATCGAAAGTCAGCTCCTCAACAGTATTCCAGTTTGCAAATCCATTTAACCTAACTAAATAAGAGATTGCAGAAGTAAATGGGGGCTGCACTTGTAAATCATCACTAATTAAAAATCTAGCTGGTCCTTTAACAAAAACCCCGCCACCCTCAGTTTCTTTTCTTTTAAATGTGATCTCCACATTCATCATACCCTTACTGTTCGTCTGGAGGAATTTCCGATGGGGACGTTTCTTGGCCAATAAGCACACAGCTCTCCGAGAGGTTGGTGCCGGTTGATATTATCTATCTGGCTTCTACTTATTGGCGGGCTGTAAGAGAATGACAGAGTTAATTCTAAAAAGTGCCTTTGTGGGGCCTTAAGTGTAGGCATTGAGGCTCATAATCAAAATTAACTTTAAGTGTTCAGGCGTGCCACTGCCATCTTTAGCATGACAGATGTAAAACATAGGGGTGGGTTCGGTATGGTTACCGTACCAAAACCCTTGTACCAATTACCATACCAAACTTTCGGTTTGGTAAAATCTATTACCATTACCGTACCAAACTTTCGGTATACCGAAGTTCGGTATTGCCAAAAGTTTGGTTGGCATGGTATGGCAATGGTAATTGCCATTTTGTTTTGGGACAAAATATGTTTTTGTTTTTTTAACCCAATTCAAGGGCAAAACTTATTTTTGTACCTTTATCTCATACATTATAGATTAAATTCATCTATTATTCATCATTCACAATTCACACACATAATAATTCAAATGAAACATCAAGATTCATCATGAAAATTAAGCTTACAATCCAAATAGAAGTTACGAACCAAAACAAATAGAAGTTAACAATCCAAATAGAAATTAAAGTTTCGAACCAAATGAAAATTGGAAGTAAACTTCAAAAAAGAGAATTCATTGATCAGTTATTCAAGCTTGAGATGTCGAAACTTTTGGAGAAGGCATTGAACTTGTAGAAGATTGAGTTTGTGTCAAGCCTACATTACAAACAAAGAAAACATATTAATTAGTAGCAAGAAGAATTAAAGTTGAAAATCATTCAATAACAATTTACTAAAAAAATTAAAGCATATCTTTCTTGTTTTCTCTTCTTCTATTTCCTTGTAAAATTGAAGCATATCTTCCGTTGGTCCTTGTAGAAGTTTACTTCACCTGCCCTAAGCCAACCACTAGTACACACTAGTGCCTCCATTATTTTAGGAGTCAAGGATACCATAAAAGGGTTCACAACCCTCCTCCCTAGACTAAATGCATTTTCACTAGCAACAGTAGAAGTGGGGGTTACAAAGATATTTTGACTATTTGTGAAAGAATTAGGAACTCTTTTGTGTTTGATTTCCACAATTTTAAGAGATCAAAGTCACCAACAACAATACTAATATAAGTAGGGTTTTATTTTCAAATTATTGGAATATTATAAATATGTGTTATATAATTATGTATTATATAAATTATAAATTATATTGTATTTTCGATATGGTACGGTAATACCGTGGTAATGGTATCCATTACCAATACCATACCATGAAATTTCGGTACGGTACAATACCGTACCATTACCGATTGGTACAAAAAATTTGGCACAAAATCAGTATGGCACGGTTGGCAATTCGGTTGACATGGTAATTTGGCAAAAAAATCCACCCCTAGTAAAACATATGTTATATATGCCTGAGAGACTGAATTAGCTATGAAAGGTGCCTTTGTAGGGCCTTAGGTGTAGGCCTTGAGGCTTCCCATCAAAACTAACTAAGTACTCGAATATATATTGGTTGTTTCATTGTTGCATAAGTAACACAACTGTTATCCTTTAATTGCCCGTGCCCGAAGAGCAGAACGAACCCAAATAGGTGCCTTTGCAGGGCCTTAGGTATAGGCCTTGAGGCTTCCTATCAAAGTTAATTCTATACTCAAGCATTTTATGGCAATCATAATATAACAGAAGTAAAACTGAGAAATAGGTTGATTACTTGCACCCTAAGTAACTTCGGACTTCTTGTTATCAAGGACTGTCGTGGATGGGTTAAGACCACATAAAGTTCTTTTTTATGCCTTGAGACCAAGGACTTTTAACTGATTAATCTTGTATGCCCGAAAGGTTAGAACTTAGAAGCCTTTTAATCATAAACTTGCTAGAAATAACTTGGATGCAGATGTAAGTATACATCATATTACTAGATTTATAACTGAAAAGACAAAACAAAGAGGGTCGGGCAAGGCTAATCGTCTTACAACTTCCTCTCTTTGTGATTTACAAAGGATTTGAATGCTAGAAGGGGAGATTGGGGGATGAGTTTACAGGAGGGAATCGATACTACAACAAGATTTAGACAAGGTAGCAAAGCTTTTACAAAGGTTTTTTGGTGAAGGTTGATCCCGAAAATGATGAAGGCTTGGTGCTGACTACAGCTTCGTATGCAAATCTGGTTTGAGCAGAGTTTGTGTATTTGTTTGTTTGTTTGAGTGTCCTTATCTTTGATTTCTCTTTCCCCTTTTATAGACGATTTGGCTTGACTGCCTGTAGCATTAATCTTGCCCAAATGCAGCTGAATGGTAGTGACTCATCAGTTTTTTACTTGTACTGCCATTATAAAGAACCTTTGGGCTGATTAACTGGCTAGTCTACACCACTTAATCTCTAGGTAGGTGAGCAAGTGGCTTAAGTGATCTGCACTTAGTCGGGAAAAGGGCTTCTTCCTTCTTCTGGGCATCGGCTGGGCTCTGGCTTCCTTCCTTCTTGATCTTCTTTTGGGCTAACCCCTTTTGAGCCCAAAGTTCAAGTTTTAACCCAAACACTTACACCAACAACAAACAGTTTCGTAATAACTATAGCTTTGTATAGGACTGCGACAAGATTCATTAGAACACTTAAAGTACCGGGAAGCCTCGAATTGATCGTATTTCAGTTTCAGGTTCATCAAAAGATCTTCAGCTCTACTGCGGGGATGTAGCAACATGTCTCGACATTCTGCTGTTCGAAAATGCTGTAAATCAAGATTTTCAACATTTCCATATAAATTGTCCATGCAACCAATTCTTAAGGGTTGTGAACGATTGGAAAGCCTAACAATTTTTCCCAAGGGGATTGCCAAGAAACTGAGGAGAACATCAATAAAATCACTATCACACTCTGCAAAGATGACTTTGTTGGTCAAGTTGTTCATCAAGACCTTCAAGCTAATTTTGTTCATAGATTTTTCTCCCATAGTCTGCAAGAAGCATGGGAGAAGGCTTTGTTGTTGTTGTTGTTGGTCTGCAAGAAACAATAATACACTGAATAAGTGAATTGTTATTATTGGACTTCTGCTTTATAGAAAGAGATTCTAAATAAGCATCAACTACCAAAATAGACATACGCAATCCCTTTTTCTCCTCCTTATCTATGTTTTTATTGCCTTGGGATTAATAAATCAAAGAAGATCAAAGAAGCATCAACGGACAAAACCAATTTGGAGGAGTACAGAAGGAGAAACGGAAGTGAAAATCACTACCATAAATATAACGATTTGTGATAGATGGTCAAGAAGAAGATTAAAAATTCAATGAAGCACCTTTACAAAATGAAATTTCAGAAAACCAAGATAACATGCATGATCAAGATATACATTTCATCAAGATAGTTCTTCACTAACCTCTGAACTCCCAAAATTGTTTCCTGTTGATTGTTTGAGAAATATTTGAAGAAGAAGCCTGAATTATATATATATATATATATATATGAATCTTTAGATGAAAGGAATTTGGTAAAGAATGAAACTCATATTATGATCCCAACATTATCACATTGACTGGATAGATATTCCTCTCGTAATCCAAACTATAGAGAATACTTATCCTATATACAGTTGTATTTGATTTATAAATGGACTAAATAAAAATTAATTATACGTGCAATTGTTTTTTTATTTGAGCAACAGTCTAATCTAAATTGTATTTTTGAAACCGTAGATGACCATATATATACATGAGATACACGCCTTTTGGATTTGGTGACTATCCTAAATCCTAATGTGTGTGAATAATTTATTTTTTCTTCTCACAACAAAAGGCGTTTCCCACTATATTAGGCGCCAGAAACCAACTCGAGGTAGCTTAATAGTTGAGGACGAATTCTATGTTAGTATTGTTAGACGCACAGTTAGAACTTGAATGTGGGAACCAAGAAGTATGGGCTGTCAGTTTTATATATCAGTTTTCTATCTCCACATGTGGTCTTCGACAAGTCAGGCACGGGCAGCATGGAGATGATCATGGACTTGTTAATTTTATATTTGTCCTCAGCATGTGCAGCATGGACTGCTTGTTAGTTTATAGGTCCTCAAACACATGCACCACGTGCAGCATATTCCTGATGTATTAAGTACGTAAATATAAATACATGCAACCTCTCTTTGTAGAGGGGGTGAATCACAGTGAAAACCTTGTGTAGAGTTATATCTTTCCTGTGTGTTTTGTTTTCCCTACAATCTACAATCCTAGATCTTTTATGGTATACAGAGCCTCTTAAGTCCAACGACAAACGATCCATAATTTTTTTTTTCTCCCGCATGTCTTCCAACAACAACAACACCTTCCCTGATTCCCAGCAAACCCCACCACCTGCAACTGCTCTAATCAACATGTCTTCGTCCATGACTACCATTGTCAACATCAAGCTCGATAGGACTAACTATCCGTTATGGTTAGCCCAGATTCTTCCAATCCTTAAGAGCCGTGATCTTATGGGGTATGTGGATGGTTCCGTTGTCTGTCCATCCAAGTATCTCGCTGGAAGCACCACTGTCAATCCCGCCTACAACACTTGGATGCAGCAAGACCAAATGATCCTGAGTTGGATCAATGGCTCCCTTACAGCCTCTGTCCTTGCTACTGTGGCAAGCAAACGATCAGCTCGTGCAACATGGGAAGCACTGGAGCAAAGGTATGCTTCTTCTTCACAGAATCGAATTCTTTTCCTGCGAAATGAACTACTCCAATGTAAGAAGGGTGATTTATCTATTGCTGACTTTCTTGATAAGATGAATGCCATTGCTGACAATTTGGCTCTAGTTGGTAAGCCTGTGGACGATGATGAACTCGTCCAAATCATTTTGAATAATCTAGGTTCCGCGTTCGAAATGACGGTTAATGCAGCACAGGCACGTGATACTCCGATCACGTACCCTACTCTTGAATCTCTTCTCCTAACTACAGAGAGGAGAATGGCTGAACAAATTTTTTCACTAGTTGAATCAGCCCCTGTGAATGCCTTTGTAGCTGCAAGAGGACGTGGTGGACGTTCTCGTGGTGGTGGACGAGCTGGCTTTCCGTCTAACCGTGGTGGTGTCAACCAACGAGGCTTTGGTCCTCGCAACAACAACAATAATTACCAACGTGTTCCTGCCAGTAATGGGGAACGTTGTGGAGGAGGACGAATAACCTGCCAGATTTGTGGAAAAGAAGGGCATTCTGCCCTTGACTGTTACCAGCGCATGAATGTTGCATACGAAGGACGCATTCCAGCCCAGCGTCTCAGTGCAATGGCCTCCTCATCCATCCCCTTGAACCGTCAGAAAAATGGTTCGTGGTTAATTGATACAGGCGCTAATGCACATATCACACCTGATCTCCAGAATTTGGTTAACCCTAAAAAGTACAACGGTAATGAAAACATTGGTGGTGTAGGTAATGATACTGGACTCGCTATTGCTCACTCTGGTTCAAATCAAATTAATGCTAATTCTTGCTCATTTAACCTTAAGAATGTTTTACATTGTCCGTCAGCCTCTACCAATATTATCTCTGCCCATAGATTTACCCTAGATAACAAATGCTACATTCTAATTTTTCCATATTATTTTGTTGTTAAGGACCTCAAGACCAAGAGGACGCTTTTCCAAGGGAGGTGTGAGAATGGGTTGTACCCATTTCCAAATGGCCGTGGAGTATCCAATCATCCTTTTTCAGCGTTTGTAGGCGTCCGTGTCTCTGCACAGAAGTGGCATTCTCGTCTAGGGCATCCTGCTTCTACAATCATAAAGTTTTTAATTTTGAATAATCAAGTGCCAATTCATGGCACAAGTGATGTCAAGTTTTGTCAGTCTTGTCCGTTAGGCAAAAGTTCCAAGTTGCCTTTCAGTTCATCCGAGTCTGTTTCCATGTTTCCCTTAGAACTTTTACATTCCGATGTTTGGTGCTCTCCAGTAATTTCAAATGAAGGTTTTCGTTATTATTTATTATTTGTGGATGATTTTTCACGATACTCTTGGATTTTTCCCATGAAAAATAAATCAGAAGTGTTCGAGATTTTTGTTAAATTCAAAACAAAAGTTGAAAATATGTTTAATTGTTCAATTAAAACTCTACAATGTGATGAAGGTGGAGAATACAAGAGTCATGCATTCAGTCAATTTCTTGCTTTACATGGAATTTCTCAAAGGGTTTCATGTCCCAAACATCCTGAACAAAATGGTCTCGCTGAGAGAAAACATCGTCACATTGTTGAAACTGGTTTAGTCATGTTGTCTCATGCTCATGTTCCTTCCAAATTTTGGTTTGATGCCTTTTTAACGGCAACATATCTAATTAATCGACTCCCTACTCGTGTATTGTATAATACTTCACCCTATGAAAAATTGTTTCACAAAAAGCCTAAATATGAGTCATTCAAAGTGTTTGGGAGTCGTTGTTTTCCTTGGTTGAGACCGTATACTAAAAATAAACTTGAGTCCAAATCAAAGTCTTGTGTATTTTTAGGGTATTCGCTGGATCATCAAGGATATAAATGTTTGGATTTATCCACGAGACGAGTTTATTTGTCTCGCCATGTCCTATTCGACGAGGACTCTTTTCCTTTCCAGGAACTCACACCTTCAGTGGAATGCGTTGATAACGGTACTGTATCTTGCCATGATTTATTTTTAATTATCCAAATGCTTTCCCTCAAGTCGTGTCTCCCCCCACTACTCCACCTCCACCTGCGTCAGCATCTGTGTTACACCCACAAATTAATCCTAACCAATCTCCATTGCTGCTACCACTTATTAGCCAACCTATAATACCTCCACCATCTCCAAATCATCTCAACGTGTCTCCCCAAAATCCTAGACAACCTACATCAGCCATAGGACCCTCAAATGAGCAAGAAATAGTTTCATGTGTCCCAAATAATGAACCAGTGAGTGAGTCCGTGCAAGAATCACAGCAACATCATCCAATGACTACTCGTTCCCAAACTGGTGTTCGTAAACCAAACCCTAAATATGCATTGCATGTTGTTACTACTGACAACCTTGTTGAACCCACTTGTTTTAGTAGGCTGTAAAACATCAGGAGTGGAGAGATGCAATGGTAAAAGAGTTCAATGCCCTGCAACGGTGTGGGACATGGAGTTTGGTGCCCTATCATTCTCAGATGAACTTGCTTCCTAACAAATGGGTGTATAAAATAAAACGGCGTGCAGATGGTTCCATAGAACGTCATAAGGCAAGGTTAGTAGCCAATGGCTTCCATAAAAAACAAGGGATTGACTACACTGAGACCTTTAGCCCAGTGGTTAAACATAGTACTATTCGGATGGTTCTTAGTCTTGCAGTATCGAATAAATGGCATGTTCGTCAACTGGACGTCCAGAACGCCTTTTTACATGGCTATCTAGCAGAAGAGGTGTATATGAGACAGCCCGCAGGGTTTGTCGATCAGCAATGCCCAACTCATGTTTGTAAACTGCAGAGAAGTTTGTATGGTTTTAAACAAGCACCTCGTGCTTGGTTTCAAAGGTTTTCCGAATTTTTACTTCAGTTGGGTTTTCAAGCTTCAAAGTGTGACTATTCATTATTTGTGTTCAAAAATCGTGGGGTTTATTTGATTCTTTTGATCTACGTAGATGATATTTTGCTGACAGGGAATAGTCCAGTTCAAATGAATCATTTAATCCAGAAGCTTGGTACGTTGTTTTCGATGAAGGATTTGGGGCCTCTTCATTACTTTCTTGGTGTTGAAGTAACATATTTCAACAACAATATGCATCTGGATCAGTCCAAGTATGCTCTTGATCTCTTGAAACGCACCAAATTCATGGATGTTAAACCTATCTCTACCCCAGTTCCCTGTGGACAAAAGTTGAGTGCTTGGGATGGTGAGACCCACAGTGATCCTCAAACTTACAGAAGTGTTGTTGGTGCCTTGCAATACTTGACAATAACAAGGCCAGATTTGTCTTATGCTG